GTTGCGGTCGGCTGGCTGGCGATGGCTTTTCCAAAGAGAATGAAACAGGAAAAACGTGGAAATTAAGCGAGTCGCGAGCTAAGCTTGATAAGCTCGCGCCAGCTGTTACAGGAATGCTGGGCGCGATTTCGCGGATTTGTATTAATTGAAAAACATTTTAATTGATTGACAGCAAGACTTAACTGTTGTCAAGTCTGAAGATTGACAAAGTGTTGGACTATACACCTCACATGTTGTACTTTATGTGAGACTTCCTTTCGTCTCCGTCAGAGCCAAGAATATTAGGATATGTATTCAAACATGTATGTGGTCTTAAAAGTTACAGCACACTGAAATATTTTAATAGAAACCAACATTGTTTTCCCTTCAAATGTGTGTCTAGTAAAACAGCATAGATTACTTACCACAATTCTCGTGAATGCTGGAGTTAGATTGAATGTATCTCAAACTTGCAAATTGCAAAATGCAATTAAACTCGTAACTAGCTCATTTCTGGATAACTTTGTTAGCCTGCGGCTCTCTAATCGCATGATGTATGTAACGCACGGCTGCATTTCTGTCCGTACTTTTACAGAATGGAAGTGGAAATCATTTCTGCAAACATTCAAATATGATTTTTGCGAGCAGGAGCTGACACCACGAAGTGCATGGAACATGTTATGCAACATTCAACTAGTTAGAATATATGTTATGTGTGTGCATAGATAAAAGTAAATGTATTTACATACATATTTCAAAGTGGGAAAATAAAATACCTGTTGATTCATGTGTGTCAAGCCGTTTGATATTGGTTACAACAGGTCCTGCCATGGCTCAAAGCTTAAGTTACAAAGCTATAATATAGATATTTTTACATATAGCGGTTACTTTTAATTAACATTTAATTCAAACACAATTAAAGCCGATTCAAAGTGTGTGAATGCCTCTAACAGGCAGAAGAAAACGACGTCTCCGTCCCTGTAAAGTATATTCAATTCTAAACCAACATTAACCCGCATTAATCTGAATCGTATATATGAACGCGTTGATTGGCGAAACTATGAGAATTAGAGACTTGAAATTTGGGTCCTATTGTGATACTTTGTTTTGATGAAATCAAGCAAAATTTACATCTATATCTTATTTTTCACCAAATCTTGGATCAACATCTAGACTTTCGTATACTAAATGCCTTCCCGTCCCCCCCAAAACTTGAAAAGAACTAATTTTTTGTGGTTAAGCGTTGGACTTCAGTATAAACATTCGTTTGGATGTCATATTTACGCCCTGGTAATTTAAGAATCGTAGTGTGTATGTATCATACTATGTATTAAGAAAAGTCCTTTTTGATAATTTGTTTATTTCATAATAGTCTCAACAAATCTATTAACTTTATGTCTGTCCGCTTGTTATGTATTAATTTTTTTTTTGCTTATTGAAAGCGTTTTATTCTCGCTTGTTAAACACTTTAATTGCGTTAAATAGCACCTGTTGCAGCATGTCCTCTGCATTGTCGCGATGCGGCAGCGAGCTCTACAATTAAGGGCCATTTACTTAGCGCACTCCCTGAACGGCTTAGCTCGACTTTGGGTTGGTGACGTGCAGTCAGCCACAAGTAGACGCTGCTGCTCTCTATTATGAGCCGGGCCATAAAGCATCCAGAGGCAGCGGAAAGCTATTTCTATTTGCACGCTGCCGTTGAGGGATTTGCTGGATGTGGATGCGAATGATGATGCTGATGCTTTCAACAGAAACAGAAAGCAAATTGCATGCAGACGAAGCGGATGACGCCGTTGCCATTGATGGGGATGTGGGTAAGGACGAGAACGAGGTCGACTCCATTCATTCAATAAAGTAAATGGCAGCGTGCCATAAAAGTAGTCATATATGGTGTTCTCTAAGTGAAGATTAGTCCAACTTAACCTGGCTGTGTGAAATTGAAAAGTCTGATGAAAGCTTTTCATTTGCAAGCAGCCATCAGCTTTATCATTAAGTGCAATGTGCAAGTCATATTGAAAAGTGGGGCCAGCCCCACATTCCGCCGGCCCATAGTCTTCTGTTTGCCTTGATAAGTGACAAATCATTTCATTTCTCTCATGTGCCGGCAATACACACAAAACAATGCCGACGACAATATGCTCTTAAAATATTTGCTCGTTCAATGACATTGAAATGAATTTTCATCTACAATGTTGACGTCGTCAACGTTGACGTTTCGCCTGGCCGAATTTTTGGCAAAGCCCAACAGCAACCTCTTCGATCTCTTTTCCGCTTTTGTTTGTCTCATTTCATTGAAATTTATATGCTTTATAAATTCATGGGCTTGTCAGCCTTGTTCCTGGTCGTTCTGTGTTTGCTATTGTGCTATTTTAAGCTGTATGCATTGTCTTTTTTTTTGCTCGTGCTCTATAAAAATGATAAAATATTTCATATTTTTGGCTCTCGATCCAGAACTCGTGTGCTGCTATGTGTGTTCCGCTTGTTGCTATTCTCATTGCATAATTGCACAAATTGATTACATTTGGGACACCGGCTCAAGCATTTTCTTTCATTTCCGTTCCCACTGAATGAGTTCCCTTCCCCACTCTGCTGCGGAAAGGTCAGTGAAACGCGCGCCGCTGGGCGACTGTCGCCCATCTAATGACCGCCAACTGTGCCGCACAGTTGAGCACAATTTGGCTGCAGCCCTGCGGCCAAAATACAATCGAGGGAATATAGAACAGCCGCATCCCATATAAGAGGCACATATGCTGCCAATAGCACAAAATGTGTGTGAGAGCTTGTTTGTGTTTATGAGAAGCGTCTCGCTGCGTCCATTTGTCTACAGCAGTTGGAATCATTTTGAGTGTTTGCTGTGTGGCTCTGTTGCTGCCCTCTTGTTGATGGATCGACTGCTGTTTGATGCTGTTGGGCCCCGATTGGTCTTCACTGTTTGCCTGATGGCTGATAGCTTCTGGCTGTTGCTATCCAGAAATACACAAATATCTCAATAGTTAATTATAGCAAAACGTACTGGAACAAATTGTCATTGGTTACTCGAGAGCTGGTCTAAATTTCCAAGTATTCAAAATTATCCTTAACTAGTTTATCTAAGGCAACGAATTACATATGTTCATGCTCTACGAGCACGCATATTCCTAATTTTCATCCCTAAGAACTAGACTGTCATAATTTAAATTGACTTTGTCATGAATAGTTATTCAAATTTTTCAAAATTTGTAAAGAGAAGTTGGTAAAGGGCAAATACGATTTGTGACAATTGAAAAAAACGATAAAAACCTAGTAAGAGAAATATTTTCTAAAGATATGCATAATTTAATTTATTTTAGATATTTTCGTGCTCAATGTTATATCTCATAAACATGCAAAGCACCAGAAACATTTAGTAATTTTTTGCTTTTTAAACATTGAATGTTTAAAGTGCATGCAAATCGCAGCAAAGTCAATAATATTTATAAAAAAAAAAAACGTTTTATTTACAAATGTGCTTTTACACACACAGTTGTGTGTGTTCCTGAATATATTTTTAATTAAATTGCAGTCGGTAAACATTTAATCCGAAGCCAGCCCCGCAGCTGGATTGGCAAGGGGGCGTGGCAACAATTGTATACAATGCATCAGGCACTTTGAGTCCACACGTCATTCAATGCACATTTGCACAATTTTTTTTTATTCAATGGAGTATTGGGGCTCGCTCACTCACAAGGACTGGCCATTTCCGCCAAATGCCACTCGAAATGGCAGGGCAAAAAACCAGGTTCATTGTTGCCCGGCAATTCAAACATGTCCTGCTCGACAGGCAACAGCTATTGTGTGCTCTGTGGCGTTGAAGTTGTCGCCGTGCAGAGGTCCCACGAGTCGTATTAGTTACATCAAGTTATTATTCCCAGTCTGCTGCATATATGTATATTGATGTGAGTGTCTGTGTGTGTGTGTGTGTGTGTGTGTGTGTGTGTGTGTGTGTGTGTGTGTGTGTGTGTGTGTGTGCGTGTGTTGTCTCCTGCCTTGTTGTGTGCAACTGGGTCAACGTAAACGTCGCGTCGCGTCGCATCGTCAAAGGATTGCGCGCCCACCTGCCTGTTTACACTGCGGTGACCTTTTGTGCGAGGCTCCTGTGGCTTTCTGTGGGTGTGTTTCGGATAGACAAACAGCCACATAACACACACAAGCACTCACCATTGTTTGTGTATGTAAATGCTGACACCTACATATACTCACACATATATATATATATACATGTGTGTATATGGAAACTCCAGCTTTTGCGTGCGCATTTCCGCCTGGCAGTTGAAAATGTATTCGATCAACAAGTTTCTTTTGTCATTTTACGCTTCGTCTCGCTTTATCGATGTGGCCTGGCCACACAACAATAACAAAAGGGCAGAGCGAATAAGCCTATGTTAAATGAATTGAATAGAATCTGAACATACCATATACATACCTTAACCCATGATTAAGCTGTGAATCCATTTATAAGCCCTGGTGCTGTATGTGTCGATTGTAGTTATAATACAGAAGAACATTGCAAATTTCAAAGTCTTTTGTTTAATTCCTGCATATGCAAAAAGTCAGTTAAAAAGAGTATAACAATAGAAAGGGGATAGTATCGTAGAGTCTGACAACTGATTTTTGGATAGGTACATTTTATATATACATATATATGGGCGTAAAGCTAAATACATTTTCTCAAAATACTTAAAAACGTATCGAAAGAGTAGAGAAAAGGAAGTGCGGTGTACAGGGTAACTCCTAGTCGAGCATGCTGGGCCACTCAAACCCTTATCTGTACAGTTTTTTGCGCAGCATTCGCCGCTTTCATTAAATATTTATAGATATTTTATAAATAATCATATATGGATATTAGGGGACGTCCTTAAACGCAATTCATGCGTAAGCGCAATGCTTGACAGGGGGGAGGATCAAAACAGAACTTGAATAATCGATGAAGCTGCTCTGAGTAATAAACAACGATAAGAGAAGATAACAATTGTTAAATATATTGCTTTATATTTGTATTGCAGATATACCCGACATTCCCGATGACATTAAGCATCTGCAGAGCCTGCAGGTGGCCGACTTTAGCTCGAATCCGATACCGAAACTGCCGTCGGGCTTTTCGCAGCTGAAGAACTTGACCGTGCTGGGCTTAAATGATATGTCGCTTACCACATTGCCCGCCGATTTTGGCAGTTTGACGCAGCTCGAATCGTTGGAGCTGCGCGAGAATCTGCTCAAGCATTTACCCGAAACGATAAGTCAGCTCACCAAGCTGAAGCGCCTGGATCTGGGCGACAACGAAATTGAGGATTTGCCACCATATCTGGGCTATTTGCCGGGCCTGCACGAGCTCTGGCTGGATCACAATCAGTTGCAGCGTCTACCGCCAGAGCTGGGCCTCTTAACCAAGCTAACGTATCTGGATGTGTCCGAAAATCGCCTGGAGGAGCTGCCCAATGAGATTGGCGGCCTGGTGAGCCTCACTGATCTGGATCTGGCACAGAATCTGCTCGAGACACTGCCCGATGGCATTGCCAAACTGAGTCGACTGACCATACTGAAACTGGACCAGAATCGCTTGCAGCGTCTAAACGATACGCTCGGCAAGTAAGTATAGCAAACGCATTTGGCAACGGTCTACGGGATTAATCGACTAATCGAAACTTTTGCAGCTGCGACAACATGCAGGAGCTGATATTGACGGAGAACTTTCTGTCCGAGCTGCCCGCCTCGATTGGAAACATGAGCAAGCTGAGCAATCTGAATGTGGATCGCAATGCTTTGGAGTATTTGCCCATAGAGATTGGCCAGTGCAGCAATTTGGGCGTGCTCAGTCTGCGCGACAACAAGCTAAAGAAGCTGCCGCCCGAGCTGGGCAACTGCACGGTGCTGCATGTGCTCGATGTGAGCGGCAACCAGCTGCTCTATTTGCCCTATTCGCTGGTCAACCTGCAGCTGAAGGCGGTCTGGCTGTCGGAGAATCAATCACAGCCACTGCTCACCTTCCAGCCGGACACGGACGCTGAGACGGGCGAGCAGGTGCTCTCCTGCTACCTGTTGCCCCAGCAGGAGTATCAGCCCATTGCGCCAGGTAAGTCTCTTGAAACTGCTATTGTAACGGGTAACTGGTGACTGATGACTTTTGACTGGTGCTAAAGATCGTGTTTTGGCTGGCTGCTCATTGCTTTAGTCACGGCTCGCACATTTCAACATTGGCCAATAAATATAAAGGGTTGCTTATCTGTAGCTGACATTCTTTCCGCGGGCCATATCATGGTGCAATATCTGCAATCTATGCTCGCGATAAGATAAGAACACCCAACACTTGTTTAATTGTACCAGCAAGAGCAATGAGCAACACTTGAGTCAAGCGCTCTGAATATCCAGTAGTACAGGCTTTTCCAAATTCTAAACTTTTATCAATTATTTTTTGTTTTTGTGCTTTTTTTTTTTTTTGTAACTAAAAGTCTTTAACGTTATTTGGCCTTAAATTTCTTCATGCACTAAGCACTTTTTCCTCGATGTATCTCAAATATCTATATACCTATTTGTTTTTCTTCGATTTTGTTTATTTTTTTTCCGCATTCACACCATGCGCTCTCTATACTATATACTGCACCTTCACTCAAATATCATAAAACAATAAAAACGAAAAAACATCCACAAAACACCAAAAGATTATCCACCCCAGACGCTTTATAGATCAAGCGAAAAGTTCGATTCGATGGATTTCTTCAGTTATCAACAGAAAGGTTTGCGTTGTCTGTTAATAATACTACAATAACAAAACGCTATTCATATAAACAAAACCCCTATAGATATAGTTGTCCCTTAGAGCTATAATATAGAGTTGTGTTTCTTGCATGGGTCTAGGTTTACATTTTTCGGCTTCTAATAACAAACGCTAACAAGTTTTTCGTAAACAAAAATTTGTTTACAATGTTTTTTTTTACAATTTGGACTAGATGTTGACATCATAAGTAATTTTTCCATATATCCATAGATCCATAGACGCAATAGCTAAACCTATGCGAATCAAATGTGTATAAAAGTATCACGTAGTAATCCGTCTAGCGGATTTTCATTTAATTCCTGAATTTTGAAAATCCAAAATGTAAAAAAATGTCAAATTTGTCCACATTTATCTTGTAACTAAATAATTATTTCCTTAACTATTCACCCAAAAAACTTTTTTCAAATATTTAAAGATTCTTTTTTTTTTTAAAGAAACCTTGCTTACCAAAAATTTTTAAAAGTCTATAAAGCTATTAGGGCTTACATAAATATATTAAATAAAAATATCGGTTTATTGAATGCAAGAAATTTGTTTGGAATTTTTTGTAATAAACCTTCACAAATTGGACATATACGAGCTAAGAAGAATGTTTGCAGTGTTCTTTATACATATATTCAAAACTTGAAGCCGAAACAAATTGTTATTCTGCCCAGTTATACATGGCTTGAACACAACTCTACTAAATAGTGCGCTTCTTATAATCCATAAGCTATGCATGCTCCTCTCACCTTATGCCTATTACCTTGAAAACTTTAGACTGTGGCTTTGAGAACGCATTCCTCGAAGCTGTTGCCTGAACTGCTGAGACCAGGTCTTTGGTCAATGTTGTTTTGGTTAGAATGTTTGTATTTCCAAGTCTTTTGTTGTTTAAAGAAAACCAGTTTAGTGGCATTAAATGACGTCATATAAATCGGATAACACAAGTCGGGCCGGGCCGGGCGTTGGCCATGCCAAGAAGAGACTGGGCGCTGTAGCGCAGTGTATTATGGGTGTGCACACCCAACGGCATACTCGGAATGTGCGTGTGTTTGATTTGTTGTTTGATTTGATAATGTTATTATTTGCTGTTTATGTTCCATTCATTTGACAGCCAGTCCGGAATCTGTTTGCCTTGTGTGCGTGTTTCCCATCACACAGCCCGTCGCTCAACACTTGAGACTTGAGCGTTAGGTGCCTGGTTAATGCTACCGATACTCGGCTCTGCGTTCAGATTCGGATTCCGATTCTGTTATTAAACAGCTGCCTGCTGTCAGTGGCAGCAGGCCAGATCAAAGCGTATGCCCTGCTGCACAGGCGTCTTCTTTGTTCCGACACTCATCAATTTGGGGGTGTGCTTCTCCGAGTGATGTCAACGCTAATGACGTCATGATCTGGCCTGAATGTAGACCAAGATCGACGGGCAGTCGTAAATGTATTCACGAGCAATCGTATGTATAACGCCGATACTTAATAATATTAATCGTCTTCTAAGAGTGCGCGCGACTCTAGACATTGTGTACGCCATTGATTAATGGCCTGTCAGAGAGCTAGGCGAATAGTACAGTGAAGCGTGCTGTTTGACGAACGCACTGCCCGAAATCTTCGGTTTATGCATTACAACTAGAACCGTATACCAGGCTTCGATAATGTGTCATTCCAAGCATCGCTTGCATTTCCCGTTGCTGCCAGGTTTATATATATAAATATATTTTTAAATTTGAAGCCTTAGTTTTTACCTACTTTTCGCAGGTATATTCTGTGTGTTGTATTATTGATTATTATACTAGTTAGTTAACTATATTATTTTTATAAACTGAAGCTCAAACCTAAAATAGATATTAAAATTTTAAAATTTGGACACTTCTGAGAATAGTTTTGAAAGCTTTAATGTTAAGATTGAAATTGTCGTCCTATCCAATTGATTTTAGTTTCAGTCAATAAATTATGGCTTCACATGAATGCATGTATGTGTTGAGTCTTGTTTTGCGTGGTTTCACTGTAGCATTCACTAGTGTTAACTGGTATTATTCAACTTGTTGTTAATGTGGTTTCCGCTTTGTTGCGTAGTTTTTTTGTCAGAGTTCTCCTCACGTTAGTTTGACATTCGATATAATAATATTTCGTAACTGTTTTGAATCGGAAACCAGTTTTGCTAAAAATACATCGATAATATCATCATCAGTTTTTTGTTTTTCTATTTCCATCTTGACAATGTTGAGCCAAATCATTTTCGTGAGTGCATCAAGCATTTTTCATGCAATTAACACACTTGCGTTAAAAAATGCCCAAGACCAGGCGGCGGCGGCTCATCAATCGAGCGCCCATATGTGGGTTACGCTTTTGGGGTCTCGAGGTGCCATGTGCTGGCACTTAAACGTTGCTCAAATTATCCAATTAGAGCTGTGACGGTCAAGACACGCAGTGACAATGGCGGCGCCCCTCGGCCTTATTATTGCTATTACAAGTTTCTGTTTTATTTACATAAATCTTCATATGAGAAAAGTTGCTCGAAGATCCGGCAAATTTACTCGGCTTACTCGGCAGACACACGCAGCACATCCCGCTGCGTGTTGTTCATTTTGAAAAGATATTATTCCGCGCTGAAAATCCGTAAAAATTGTAAGTTACGAGCTGACATTGGATGCAGCTACTTAAGCCGGGGCCAACTACTTCCGTCATAAACAACGATTTAAATTTGTTTATTGGTCAGCAGCAAACCGACCCCACCCCTGACCCCGCCTCTACCACCCGGGGGGCTATGGCATGCAATTGCCGCGCGGGTTGCCCACATCTTGCAATTTTTATATTGTTTACGCTGAGTGGAAATTTATGGCACATATTCACACACAATCGCTTGATGGATTAGAGAGTGCCTGTGGCAGCGGGGCTGGAGCAATGTTTATGCCGCCACGGCCTCAAAAAAAATATAGTTGCCTTATTGTTTTAGTTGCTTTTCTTTTGTTGCTGTTGCTGTTGCCGTATTTATTGTTCTTACATAGCCCGAGCTACAGGTCGTTAAGCGGCCCGAATGTAAATATTTATAAACTATATCGACAGCTACTAACTGTAAGTGCATGCGCATGCCGTTTGCTAATCTCTCAATTAGTAAAATCACAATTAAATCAAATTGTTCATGAACAATCCAATCTTCTCCCCTTTGCCGCAGCGCGCGATTTGGAATCTGACTCTGAGCCCTATGAGGAGCGCGAACCGTCACGCACCGTTGTCAAATTCTCGGAGGATGCCAGCCAGGAAAAGGATACGCCATTTGTGCGCCAGAACACGCCGCATCCCAAGGACTTGAAGGCCAAGGCACAGAAACTCAAAGTGGAGCGCAGCCGACACGAAGAGAACGCCAATTTGGTGGCACTGCCCGAGGAGGTAAATGATACAAGAAGATCAAGTGAACGGGTTCAAGGGTCAAGCTTATGTGTCTACTTCAAATGCCCTTAATTGTTATAGAAACAAATTGTACAATTTCGGGGTTCAGCGGAGGCAGCTGGCTCTTGAACTCATTTCAAAACTTCCGACCTCTTTTTATGGTAGTTGAATCAAATTTATTCTATTGATATTTTATTATTATTAATGTATCTACTTAGCTTCACTATTATATTTTTCTTAAATAGTTTATTGCTTTAAATAGTTTGAACTATAAATATTCTTAATGCATTTATATTCTGATTACAATAGAATATAGATCCATATTAACAGTATTATTGGTATTATTGGTTGCACAATTCAATTATGCTTTGAATATCTCAAAAAACTTAACTTAGTTATAAAATACAAATAGTAACCAAAGTACTATAGCTATAAGTACGTTATAATCTCTTAGTTACTTTATATGATTTATTTTCTGCATTCTATTAAACTTGCACGCAATTCTATAATTTTTCTATGCTTTTTTTCATATGCTCTTTCTTATCATAAATTTATTTTATGTAATTTTATATTTTTAACAGAACGGCACCAAGTCAGTCGTGACAGAAACCCCCGCCGAGGCACGCACCGTGGTCAATAGTCACCAACAGATAGTCGTGACAGCCACCAATAGCGCGACCGCTGCGCAGCCAGTACACAAACCTGTAACGATTGGTGCAATTACACCAACACCAACTGCAGCAGCGCCACAAACCGCACAGGGTGCCCCAGCAGCAGCCACGGCTAGAACCAACAGCGACAATACAACAGCAACAGTTGCCCAGGCGGCTGACGCTGCGGAACAGGAAGACGAATATGTAAGTAAATTTGAAATGAATTATTAATAAAAATCAGTTTTGAATGAACAATTTTGACTGATGTTGCAGGAGACCGATCGCCGCGTGGGCTTCCAAGTGGAGGGTGAGGACGATGACTTTTACAAGCGACCGCCCAAGCTGCACAGACGGTAAGTTCAATTAGCTAATGCATTGCGAAAACGTGCTCCCAATCCAGTTATTTGCACCCTTAGCGATACGCCCCATCACTTGAAGAACAAACGTGTGCAGCATTTGACCGATAAGCAGGCCAATGAAATCTTGGCCAATGCTCTGGCCTCACAGGAGCGCGACTCGCCAGAGCCGCAGCAGTCGATGGCCAAGGTGCAGTCCCCCATTGAGGAGAATGCCGATGCCGAGCTGCTTGAACAGCAGCAGGAACAACAGGAGCAGCAACAACAGCAACCATTTGACGCCTCGCTCTCCCCAATCCCAGCTCCAAAGGCTGAGGCAGCAGCCGCCACCGTAGCAGGTAATTTATGCAAAATCAGCTCTTCGGAGCCTTAACTATTTCAAAACATTCTCTTAACTGCTCACAATACGAAAGAGGGATGCGTTTCAGGGGACCTGCCCCTACGACCCACACATAATCAATAACCAATCGATAAGATTTTCTTGCTAAATATTGCACCCCGTCTTACATTATGAATATGTGAAAGCCACCGTTGGCAGACACACAGCGTCGCATTGTCCGTTTATGGGAGATGTCTGGTTAGGGGAATGCATTTTGAATTACAAAATGGAAAGCTTACAAGATTTGTCAGTTAAAGTGCGTTCACTTTAGAAGTGGGTATATGTGCAAACCTGACTGGCCGTTAGGAAATTTATGCACAAAGTAACAAGTCTTTTTTTAAGTGCATGCAAAACTTTCAAAAAAGATAGTTTATCAATCAAATATAACGATCATAATTCCATTCATTAATCATATTTACATTTAAACCGAATGCGTGATTTTAATAAGGAAACTTTTAACGAAATTCAATATTTATATTAAATATATATTATTCATATTTAAAATATATATTAAATAGAAAAAATTTAGACAGTATTAAACATGTACAGTGAAAATTCCCCTAACGTACATTCGGCAGACTTCCCTCTTGGACGGACACATTCGTTCATTCTCCCACTGTCGCTGTCCGCTCAAGCGAGTTTTCACTGTATATGTGCTGTCATATCCATAAAAAGCTTAAATGTCTATCAATACATTAAGTGTCTTAAGGGTCTTTCACTGTAAGTTGATAAATATTATCTTTGTAACTTGCATCTAAGAAATGAAGTAGAAGGATATTATAACATTGAATATGAAACACGAAAGGGATAATGTTCGATTCAGCACAGAGAATTAATATATATTCTCCCTTTTATTCATTTAAATTAATCTTATAGATGACAAGAGTTAAACACACCAAATTTAGTTATGTCAGTTATGGATTTAGTCATAAATGATACCTGAGGCAGTTCGATTGTAAATACTATATCCATTCATGTTCAACCATGGCTGACATGTCCTGCAACAACTTAGGTCAGGTCTGTCTTCCAATATTTAATGAAGCGCGCTGATATCATCAGTTGAAGACTTGTTCGAGTAGCAATTCGACTTAATTGAAGCAACGAAAATTTAATTGTAGTGCGTGCTTATTAAAAGCGCGTTACGAACAAAATATAAGAGTTGGTGAGGAAGAAAACAAGTGCGCAACAGGTAAACAAGCGCTAGAAATTTGGCCTAAAAATACCATATATACACGCAACGCCAATAATTACGGGGTCTGTACGGCACGTAAAGCCTATATATAGGGCCCGGGGCCTATCAGTGTGCGCTATCTATTTGGCCTGGCCTGCAAAAGCTGATAAGCAAACAAGGGGAGAGGTAGGGGGGAGGGTGGGCGGTTAAGGGGGGTTAACCAAAGGGAACTGAGCAAAACTGAAGAGCGACAGCTCTAAAGAGCGCAACAAGTTGAGAAAGTTGAAAATAAAATAAAATTAAATGAAACTGAAATCAGCCGCCTGCTCATTATGGCAGCAGACGAGTGGCTACCTGAGCAGGTGTGTGTGTGTGCTTGCTCTAGAGAGAGAGGGCGAAAGAGAGAGAGAGAGGTGGAGAGTGAGAAGAGAGTGAGCGAGCGAGCGAGCGAGTGTGTGCAATTGCTGGCAGTCTGCCTCTGGGTCTGGGTCTCGACACTTTGCCCATTTGCCGCTGACTTTAGTCATTTTTTAGTAACGCTTGCGTTTTGTCAACATCGCGAGAGCGCGCGCTACGTTTGACGCGTTTGTCTTGAGTTTTCTACAAATACCATTTACTACTATTATTTGTTTATTATTATTAACGCCTGCTGACTAGACACACACACACACACACACACACACACACACACACACACACACACACACACACACACACACACACACACACACACACACGCACGCACTTGAGAGCCCGCAACAATAGCAATAATAACATTGAATACAAACTGTTCACATGCCTTGACTTAGTCAGAGGCCCGAAAAAAAAGCAAAAGCAACTGCAAAAGCGACGCAGTTTTATGTTAAATATGTACTTATATTCATTTTTATTTTGTGCGAATTGTTGCTGCCATTTCGAGGCGCCAGGCAACCCAACTGTCTGCCCGGCTAGTCTCGCATTACGCATACGCAGCGTTCGCCATTGTGTTGGCCCAAATTGAATTTCAAGTGCAAATATGCTCGAATAGGGCGCTGCAGCAGCTCTCTTGCAAGGTCGCAATAGCTAGCTGCTCAAGGTTATGCCGTGCCACATCAGCTGCTGCTGCTGCTGCTGCTGCTGCCTTGGAGCGCAACCAGCTTCCGCTATTTGCATTTTGGTTGCATTACCCAAAAAACTAAAAAACGAGCTGCTTGAAAGGAAATTTTGCATGTTGTTTGCGTAGTCACAGAGTGTCTTTCCCTATACATATATTTGCACATGACAAATACGCCATGTTTATCTGCTTTTGCCAGTGTATCTGTGTGTGAGTGTGCATATCCGGTTGCCACTTCCTATTTTTTCGGTTAGCTGCTCCACAAGAATCATCAACATTTGCACAGTACCTTTTTGCATGGCTTGGGCAAACATTACGCTGCATTTGCCATCAGCTTGCATTGTGTGGTGTTTCTTAAAGCGGGGCCCCAGCTCAAACCCAACCCCAACTAATATATAGCCATGCTGTATATATAGTATGTTGGCCAATAAATAAACCGATGCCATTGATAAGCCCAAGGCAATGCAATTGATTTTATGTATTGTATTGCTGATTGCACGCTCTGTGCGCGCCCTTATTGAATTTCTACACAGTGCGTGTTTGTTCTGTGCTGTTCGCTTGTGTTTGTTTGTTTTTGTTTTGTTTGTTTGTTTGTTTGTTTGATTGTTTGTTGTGTGCCCTTTTGGTATATACCACCAACGCAGTCTTGTTGAATTATTGCTGCGGGCATTCTGCCTTACATTTGAACTATTCGCATTCTAATGGATTTTTCTACATTAGGCAAACAAACATATTTCAGTTATGCACTTTTGTTTTCGACTTGTTTTTCGTGCAGTTTAACGTTTGCATGCGAATTTCATCAGCCCAGCCCCCCCGTCTCTGCCGTCCAGCTGCCTGTTAACTGATACAAAAATCACACACACTCAAACAATGCGATAAATGCCAGTTAAGGAAAATATGGCTGAAAAGCTGTTTGAATTACGTAGAGAGAAGGGAAGGGGGTGGGGGGGGGGATGCGGTGGCAGTCAGTCGGAACTGGAGATGGTTATGTCAAACAATTTTGCATTACATTTCACAGCGAGAAAATGCTGCAAATACGCGAACTTATTGATAAGGGAGACTGGAGATGGGGTTGAGCGAGGGTTTCTTTTTTTGGTTTAACGCCCGAATAGACAACATGTCAGCGAACATGTGTTGTTGTGTGTTAAATGCGATCATTCCTTTGATTCATTCCCTATAAATCTTCAATATTGAAGCTTTATTCAAGCTTTAACAACTTAAATCGTTTTATCATAAGCGACACTTGCTGTGACACTTGCTGCTAGATACCAACTCCTCAAACTTGCTGTATGTCCGAATTTAAACCCATTTCCGTTCTTATCTCTGAGATATAGAGCACATGAATTGCACAACCTGTAGATTCTTTGCTTCACTTATAGAATTTGATGAATCATGCAACATTTCCGTTGGGCTGCCCTTTCATTAGAGTATTTTCTTTATACGCCACAAACATCTGTGAGGCTAGCGAATTATGCGCAAAATTAAACCTAAAATGAATGGACCCATGATGTCATCGGCTTTCTTATCCAGCCAACACTCACCTGTACACACTCACACCTGGCTGTAATTGTGTGCGTGTGTGTGTGTGTGTGCATGTCAGCTTTTCATAGCGTAATATCAATTTCTGTTGGAATCATTGATAAGCCAGTGGGGCGTATGGCTACTCGAAATTACGCATACGACAGGTGGACCAAGGTCATTAACTAACGCTTGACTTTGGCTTCGTGTAATGTTGCTGCCGTAGGCCGTCGAAAAAAAATATGTCGTAATGATTCAGTTTTCCAATCGTTGCTGTCTTATCGCAGTCGCGGGTTTTGTTTCTGTTTTTATTTTTGTAATTTTCAGCCTCAGTCGCTTTTGCTGCGCTTATCAAATTGGCTTTAGGCATTCCAAAGTTGTTGTTCTCATACCTGATTAGATATGAACGCGAGCGCGCACCCCTTTTTCGTGGAGAGGGGGAGCGTTCATTATTGCAAAATGCGTGGAGTTCTACACAAAAGTATTTATTGTTTATTTTTTGTTATTTAATTGTTGCCTGTGCTCTGCTCTGTTACAATAATAATTCAACGTTTTTATGCTGCCGCAAAAATGATGATTCATTAATTTCTGTCACCACATTTAAAAACTTCGCTCGCTGGATTTTGATAGCTTTACGCTTGCAATTTGTCAAGAGCTTGCCCAACCAGACCGGCAATTTATCACAGCGGCTGCCTGTTGAGCCCGCCCCCAACCCTGCCCGATCCAACGTGCCACATGGTATTCCACGGAGCAGAACCCGCTCACGTGCTCATCGATTGCTATTTAAATGCAATTAGGCACTTGATCTTTTGATATTAGCTGGGGATACAAAAAGTACGAATGTAATTAAAGGCGATTACATACACACATACACACGAGTACTTGGATCAATTGGCAGTAGCCAGAGCATAAATGAATGAAAATTCAATTGTGGCGGAGAGGAGAATGTGTGTGTGTGTGTGTGTGTGTGTGTGTGTGTGTGTGTGTGTGTGTCTAGTTGAGTAGAGTGTGTGACATGCGTCCAGTAAATTTGCATAACGAAAATGTTTTGCCAAGTTTTCTCAAGTTCGACTTTTGTGTCACAAAGAGAATATGTCAATGCACCAGCAGAGCAGGGGGTACAAAGGGGAGTGGAGCACGTGTGCTCGGACTCGGACTCTGGCCAAGTCAAAGACGGAGACGCATATCAGGCTGTCAATGGCCGGCCACAGGACATGGCATGACATGGCCGGACCCAACAAAAGCCTGTGCTGTATGTGAAATATGGGTTTTGCTCTCTCTGCCATATTTCTTGGCGTCCAGACTCCCGACCAGATCATTTACATATAAATAACCAAAACGAGTCGTAGCCATCGCAGGCGCATTGATTTGGCATTTGCCAGCTGTATTTCACACAATTCCAAATTCGAGTGCGTTCAGGGAAATCGCCTGGTGTTGCTTGAGTTTTCCCAGCAGCGCTTTTTTAATGAGTTTCCCCAGCACATTTTATGGGCTTTGCCTCATTTTCGGCGTATTTAAATTTTATATATGTTCATTCACATTGCCTGCCGCACATATCTTCTACGCACTTCATCGAAGGCGACGTTCGCGGGGCATCTTTAAAATACTTATACTTAAATGCATACTTAAGTATATATGTACAGAGTCGTAAAATTTTCAAATGTTTATTTGAGTGCGTGGAAATGGCAGCTTCCAGACGCGCGCGCGTGTACGTTGAACTCTTGATTATGAGCCCGATTGAGACGTTTTACTCTGAACTCTTACTCTTTAAACTGAGGCGCATTTTGGGGAAAGGCAAATTAAAATTGAAGTGCATAATTTCACACATCATGTCAAGTTTTCCCATGATGCGAAACTTTTCACTTTATTGCAATTTCTGTTTTGCCATTCGAATTAGAAACTGTCTTAAGCTGACATATATATGGCCTATAGCTATAAATGGAATATGAAATCACGTTTAACTCGTTTGTATTAATGGATTCTCAAAAACTTAAACGAATTATAGAATTGGATAATACAGCTATTCGAATGTTTTGCGCGATATATATTTAAATACCATGTCTCAGCATCTTGCCTGAAATATATTTCTTGCTTATTAAATGAGCTGCACTTTAGTCTTGGCTTTATATTACCTGTATTTACCTGTATTTATAGTTTGCCTACTCTTATATGTATATGTGCGGATAACTCTTGCATTCGGTGCCTACTTCTAGGAGCTTGCTGCAGCTCACACACACACACACAGCCGTAGCTAACACATGTATACATTTGTCTGTCTCTTTGTTTTCTTTTTGGCTGCTTTTGTTGGCGACTCTAAACAAAAGTGCGACAGATTCTTCATGTGGCTTTGCTCACAGCGTGCACACACCTGTGCGTGTGTGCGTGTGGGTGTGTGTTGATAACCCATAAAAATGTTTTCACCTGGCGCAGCTTCAGTGAAATTGCCAAGCATTTTACACATTTGCTCGGCGAGAACAAGAAGTAATGAAAATCTTTTCGTTTTTATTGCCACATTATTTGTCAGTCGTCGCTTTGCGATTTAAATGAAACGCCTTTTCTGATAATTCAAGTGGAGCGCAAAACAAATAATTGCCATTTTATCATAATAAAAATGAAAATAAGGAACGCAATTACGAAAAGTGGAATTTCATAATTTATATCCATATCGATTACAGCAGGGATAAATGTTCATTATTGTTTTGGCAAGCTTTATGTTTTGCATTCAATTCATCGCAAATTCAGGCTTCAATTAATATGCGGGCAACGGTAGCAATTATAAACTGGCGGCTTGGATCATGCCATTAGCCTTGACAGTCATTAAAAACAAAATAACTTTGGCAAAGTGCCGACGGATTTATTGAGTGCAAATCAGCCAAGTTGGCGGCGTGGGCAATTTGGAGCACAGGTAGAGCCCGGCTGCAGTGTGGGTGGCCGCTGCCCGTTGCCCGTTGCCTCTCGCTCTTTATTTATTTAATTATTATACAAAGTTGCTCTAGGGCCGTTCGCTGAGGATGGTTTTTGCCCCAAGGTCGTTGGCTTTGTGGCCCAAAATGGCTTTGTCTTTGTCTCGTCCCAGTCGTTGATTGGCCCTGCGCAATCTCCGTTTTGGCCAAACAATTTTTGGGCCATTTAATTTGCACAGGAATTTTTCATGTCATTAAAACGTGTAATTTATGCAATGCATAAATTCAATTCCGTCTGTTGAATCGAATAAAAATTTAAATTTGATAATTTCAACAATATGCCTATATATATTAATATTATGCGATTTTCCAATCAAGTGAACACAAGTCGGGTACAGGGTGCGCTAGAGTTTGGCGCATATCAATAAAAAGAACTTTTGTAACATACAGGGTGCTTCTTCTTCTATTGCAAAAGTGAACTTATCAATATGCCAAGCAGCAGCACATATTGAAAGTGCATTCAAGTAGAAACTCATAAGCTGCAACATGTTCAATGTCAAAATCAAAGTCAAAGAGGGCAACAATACGCTGCCCCGAAGCGCACAGCGCAGCAATGGCGGCTCCTTGATGGCCGCCGGCGGCAGCGGACGCAACAGTCCCGCCACGGGCAGCCTGCGCAGCTCGTTGGCCTCCTCGAATGGCGGCTCGTTGCGGCGCAAGGGCAAGCATGTGCGCATTGTGACCAGCTACGATCCCTTGGAGCGCGACTACGAGCGAAACAGACAGCAGTTTGGTAAACATTTGTGCAGCAGTCGAGGGCTCTGAAATCTCTGAGAATAGCTGCTAATCCGGTTCTTCATTTCATTTGCAGACAACATTGATGGCGTGACGGAGCTGCGTCTGGAGCAGTACGAGATACACATTGAGCGCACCTCGGCTGGCCTCGGCCTGAGCATAGCCGGTGGCAAGGGCTCGACGCCCTTTAAGGGCGACGATGACGGCATTTTCATATCGCGCGTCACCGAAGCGGGACCCGCCGATCTGGCCGGCCTTAAAGTGGGCGACAAGGTGCTCAAGGTGAATGGCATTGTTGTCGTGGATGCCGATCATTACCAGGCCGTTCAGGTGCTCAAGGCCTGCGGCGCCGTGCTGGTGCTCGTAGTGCAGCGCGAGGTGACGCGCCTGATTGGCCATCCCGTCTTCAGCGAGGACGGCAGCGTCTCACAGATCTCCGTAGAGACGCGTCCACTGGTTGCCGAGGTACCAGCTGTCACACAGGAACGCTACATTCCGCCGCCCATTCAAATAGTTCCAGAACAGCTGCAGCAGCAGCCCGTCCAGCAGCTGCAGCAGCTGGCGCCTGCCCAGGCACATGGCTATGCGGGCAATGTGTTTGCCACGCCCACGCCAGCAACAAATGGCATGTTGCTGGAGAACGGCAAGGTAGGAGCGCATACTCATACTCTTGCTCTTGCTTGATATTGATTAATTTATGTTGTCCTTTGTGGTTTTATAGCTGGATTTGGCGCCGTTAAGCTTTATACAATTGCACACAACGCTCATACGCGATCAAATTGGCCAGGGATTGGGTTTCAGCATTGCCGGCGGCAAGGGCTCACCGCCGTTCAAGGATGATTGCGACGGCATTTTCATATCGCGCATTACCGAGGGTGGGCTGGCGCATCGCGACGGCAAAATCATGGTCGGTGACCGTGTTATGGCGGTGAGTGAACTGACAGACGCTAATGGCATTTCATTGTATAATCCAAAACCCAACCAACCACCTACTCGTTGCAGATTAACGGCAACGACATGACGCAGGCACATCACGACGCGGCTGTCGCCTGCCTCACCGAGCCGCAGCGGTTTGTGCGCCTCGTGCTGCAGCGCGAATATCGCGGCCCCCTTGAGCCGCCGACGAGTCCGCGCAGTCCGGCCGTGCTCAACTCGTTGAGCCCCTCCGGCTATCTGGCCAATCGACCAGGTTAGAAATTCATAACGCCTCACTGCGTCCTTCTCTTAACGCTGTTAACTGTTTTTCTGTTTCTGTTTCTGTCTCCGCCTTGCTCTCTGTAGCTAACTTTGGACGCTCTGTGGGCGATGAGCAGCCCTACAAGTACAACACACTGGCCACCACGCCCACGGCAACTGTGACGACAGGCGTTGTGCACAACAACAACAATAATAATACGCTGCCCAGCAACAAGACTAACGGATTTGCAACAGCTGCTGCTGTCAATAATGCTCCTTATACTGCTGCTGCTGCTGCCCCAGCTGCTGTCCCAGCAGCTACTCCCGCTTCACACATTGACAAATCCACAGGTCAACCGGTGCCAGCACCACGTCGCACCAACTCGGTGCCTCTGGGCGATGGCGACGCTGCCGTAAATGGCGCCGCGTCCACCACCAGCAGCGGCGACTCTGGCGAGGCTCAGGTAAGATGCCAAACGTTTACTTTGTAGTAGCTCAGCTAGTCTCCTAGCTTTAGTTAACTGTTTAGTTGTGTGCACGTCATTTTAATGTTGCTCATAAGCTCGTTTGTTCGTTCCCTAATCATGCCCAGGCTAGTCTTAAGTAACCTTTAGGCCAACACTAAAAACCACAACAACTTGCGCGCCAGTTGGCCCAACACACGTCACAGGTAAGTTCCTCAACTGTTGTTGGCCAAATGACGCGCAAGCTGGCACCCCAGAAGAGATTCATGCAAATTGTTGTTGATAAACACATAAACAAACTTTCCATATAAATTTATTTATATATATACAATAAAATAAATATATATCTAATTGTGCTAATACATACTCGTATCTGCCAGATTATCAACCCATAACCCTAGCTCTTAGCCAACACATACATATATGCTACAATATTAGTACACACACCTATCTATATATATATATATATATATATATATAGATATATATATTTATATAAAATTTGTTTGTGTTTGTTTTGCATGTGCCCTGTGCGCGTTCCTTTACGTGTTTTATCTTGTTACCTTTTACATTTTTGGTCTCATATTTTATATCCTCCCTAAACATATCTAGTATATAAGTGTGCACAAGCGATTTGTGTGTTGTTTCTTGTCCTCGGCTTTTAGCGTACTTATGCACTGAGATTGAAGAGCCCAGTTAAGGTCTGGACAGGAATTGTATATAAATATAATGCTACACATATATACCATCTACAGTTATTTAGGAAGTTTAGCTTAGCTTTTAGACCCAAAATCAAAAGAAAATATGTAACGAAATTTACAAAAACCAACATATTTTTGTTTCTTTTTCTATAAACCCAAATGTTGCTTTAAACCTGAACTTTCCAAAAAAAAAAAAAAAACCAAACCAAAAAAAAAAATCCAAAATCAATAACTTGTCCAAATCGAATAAAACAAATACAAAAACCAATCAACAAACTGCGTCCACAATCAACGAGCAGCCCTCATCCCTACGGCCATTGACCAGCGATGATTTTCAGGCGATGATACCGGCACATTTTCTCAGCGGCGGCAGTCAGCATCAGGTGCATGTGGCACGGCCCAATGAGGTGGGCGTCAGCGCTGTCACTGTAAACGTGAACAAGCCGCAGCCCGATTTGCCCATGTTCCCAGCCGCGCCCACCGAGCTGGGCCGCGTCACCGAGACCATCACCAAGTCCACATTCACGGAAACGGTAATGACGCGCATCACCGACAATCAGCTGGCGGAGCCATTGATCAGTGAGGTGACTATCACAACATCACGCATACACTAAACAAAAAAACGCAAAAAAACAAATACTAGAAACTTAGCAAAGCTTTACAAAGCGACGCCACGCTCTGCCGAGTGCAGCAAATTTTGAGACATGTTCCTGTTATACCCAGCCGAGTGGCGGCGCCCCATGGGGCATTATTTTGCTGCTCATTGCTCGGGCAATCAACCACAAGGATGAGAGCTTCTTTTCACCTACTTATGCACACCATACACACACACACACACACACACACACACATATACAAACACACACATACACATACACCCACATACAACCACGAAAAAAACACCTTTTAAATTGTTGTATTCAAATGTAATTGGCTCTTTCTATTGTTGGCCCTCATCTTATGTTTGTATAGCCCTTAAGCACCTACACATATAAAACTTATTTGGATATACATTGTAAATAAAAAAATTTTTGTGCGTTTTTGCAAGCGATTTGACTTGAACGAAACTCAGCTCCTTGCTTCTGGCACGCCGCTCCTAACGCTCCAGCACAGATCCAATAGATGGACAATTTCCTTCAATTTAAATGTTGAAGCGTTTGAACTATGCGTGACCAATGCACATAATTAAACAATTATAATTGAAATGTTAAGCATTATGCAAAACACGCACATCGAAACTAATTTAAAAACAAAAAAAAAAAGAAGTAGTAGTTATTTATAGTTTAGTAGCTGTAGTTGGTTTATGGTCTTGCATAACAATCCGTTAATATTGTATTCAATAAGCAATTCAAAGTATTTGCATTTGGTAAATGGTGCATGCAGGAATTTTAATTTTACACACGTAACGTTTAATAATTACTTAATTAAAATTGATTGTTTTAAATGAGAACTAAATGATTTAATCAACCCACTAACGAATTAACTAGGAACATTAACTATTTTACGCATTTACGAATAATTATTATTTTAATTGGTTTTTTAACGCGAACCTAATAAAACAGCTATATTCTAATTTTGGTATATATTTTTGTGACGAAAGCGTTTAATGCATATTTATAAATTTAATTCCAACCCTTATGTGTGTGTTTGTAATTATTTATATCCCTATTATCAGAAGTTACGACTGTATCTGTCTGTTTCTCAAAATATCTTAACTCACAATTGAAAAGCTGCAAATGTTGAAACTTTATAGGTTTCCCGAATCCAAGCCCAGAAGTGACCTATCCTATACCTCCTATTGGAACAATCAGGAATTTTAGTTCTGAAATGCGTTTTGTAATATTTAGGTTTATTTACCTTTTCACATTCCATTTTGTCAGAGATAAGATAGCTGATTGAAAAGAATATGTCTGCAAGGGCATTCGGTATTCGTCGCGTCAGAGATAACAGCTCTTACTACTGCTAATAGTTACTAATAGCAGTTGATTTAAGCGAAATTGTTTGCAGTTAAGAGCAGCAATTCAACTAAATTATATCTCGAGTCTCTCTCTCTTTGAGGTTTCCCAAAGCAAATACTTGTGATTATAAGAACTGTAAGTTAGCTCCGTTCGAGTTGCAACTAAAGCCGGCTTTGCACACACATTAGCCACTCGAGTGTCATCGTCTAAAGCCCTGTTGAAAATCTACAAATCTGTGCAACTCTTAACCGCCTGCCACATGAATAAATAATTGGCAAACTATGTTGTGCTTGGCGTGCACATACACACACAGAGCCGCACATGAATACAGAATCCTTTTAATAATGCATTTTGTCTGGAAAGTACACGAAAAAAGCGTTTGTTGCAAGAGTTAATAAAATACTACAAATGGGCCACGCCCACATTGCAATGGGTTGTGTCAACGACAGTCGTTGAACAAACTTATGAATTTTACGTTTTATTCTCGCCTGTCAACTGGCTGTGTGTAAACACCGACAGCAAGGCAAACTTGCATTCGAATGACAAATAAAATATTTAATTGTTTTTAATTTCACTTGTTGGCAGTCGATTGGCCAACGCCGTCGATTGCGCCACTTTGTTGCCAGCAAGCAAAGAAAGCAATTTGCTTTAGTGAATTGACAAAAGTTATATAGTCGTAATTATATAGTTTATATCTGCAGCAGAAAGACTCTTCGGGCGAATGCCTGTCAACTGCTCGGCTAATGAATGTAAAACTTGAAATATATTTTGACATTTTATGAAAAGGCTTACATCGTGTGTGTGCGTGTGTCTTGTTGTTGAGTTGTGCAAAGCCGCAGGCAGCTTTTTACAAACTTGCAACTTGCAGCTTGTGTCTGGCATATGCATACACCTGTTTGTTCTGCTAATTAAGATTAAAGTACAGTGGCAAATTCTCAGGACTTTTGCGGCAAGCCATATAACTATTTCAACTTATTATATTTTATTTAATATGCAATCAAGTTATGCTAAATGCATAAAGCATAAATAACAATTTACTATTATCTTTGGGCTCTTAACTGTCTGGTTTTGTAATATCTGCTTTGTTGGGACTTTTAGATTAATTTGCATGTCTCTTGTTTGGTTTTAAAACTTGGTGTCTTTGTGTATGTCCTTTTTTTCCTTTAGTTAAACATGAGACTCGAAATTTGTTCATGTAAATATCACCAACAATTTTGCACACACTCACACTCATTTATGAGGCTACCCACCACCCACCCACATCAGCACTTTTCATAACGTGCTCTTCAAATTTCAGCTAGAACACAGCAATATTTTATAATACTATGATTTTTGTTTAGTTTTATCTTTAACCACACGCACAACACCCACTTATATCGCATTTTGTTGTCTCTGTAGGAAGTGGTGCTGCCCAAGAATCAAGGCTCACTCGGCTTCAGCATCATCGGCGGCACGGATCACTCCTGTGTGCCATTCGGTACACGCGAACCGGGCATTTTCATTTCACATGTAAGTAAAGCGAACAGAAAATTGCTGAGATCGGGGTGAGGTAGGGGGGAGATGGCTCTTAAAACTGGGGACAAACTTTTCAAACTAATGCAGTTTTCGCTGCCACAGCTTGCGGTTGCAAATGAGCTGCACAATTAGCTCACAGTATACTCAGCGTCTTTACAAACAATTAAATTAGCCATGGGGTCTAGCGAACTCACAACGTTTGACATCTGTGTGTTAGACAAAGTTAAATAAACTTAATAGCGGCTTATGCCCGTCTTTGCCTGGACCAAGTTTTCTTTCTTTGAATTCTAGACATTATCTCCAACTTTTGTCTCCGATTTCCACCTAAAAATGATGTAACGTGTTAAACGTGTTTCCAATAAATGTTCACAAATGTCTTGGCAAAGGAGTTTAATCCCAAAACCTCATCAATTTTTCAACCAACAGAAATGATAATTAGATTTTCCGAAAAGTGTGCAACACGTCCCGAATAAATGCTCACAAAGATCTGTGAAATCATGTTTAAAGCCGATCGGATGGTGAACAAAGAATCCCTATACAGGTCTTTACACCAATTTTTCGTAGTTCCAGAATTATTTATTTGTAAGAGTGCGTCGATTATCAGTCAGTAGAAACTCTTTCTTATATATTTTATGTATCATAATACTTTCTTTCCATTCATAGATTGTGCCCGGTGGCATTGCATCCAAATGTGGCAAGCTGCGCATGGGCGATCGCATATTGAAAGTCAACGAGACGGACGTCTCGAAGGCCACACATCAAGATGCTGTAATGGAGCTGCTGAAGCCTGGCGATGAGATCAAGCTGACCATACAACATGATCCGTTGCCGCCTGGTTTTCAGGTAAGCCAAAATATTGTCAATCGTATTATTGTGCGCCCCTTTTGTATTTAGTTTGCTTTTGTGCCACTTATTATTTATGCTGTATATAAATGGTATTTGTATTAATGTAAAAATCAAAAATTTAACGCTGTAAGTCAAACACCAATTTATACTTCTCTCTCACCTATGCTCTATGAATGCTTAAACAAACATTTACGATGCAAAGCACATAGAAGTAGTTTATGTAAAGACGCAGGTAAGATTTTTCAATACTCCGCAAACTACACTCCGCAAACTATTGGAAACGCTAAAGATACCTACGTAACTAATCGCACCCAATAAAAACCGGCCCATAAATGTAGATTATTTAAGCTTTAATACAACTTGATAGCAATTTTGTGTACTCAATGTACTTGGATCCTATAAAATGTCCATAGCAAAATTTTGATTGTTATTTATATGTTAGAATACCTTTAGGACAAACTAGCACATTTTATGTAAATTTTTAACCTTATTTTGAAATATTTCTTATGATTTCGATAAACTCATAAATACCACAGTTCAGCACAAAGTTAATTTATCACAATTTTATAGAAAGAGATCACAATTTTATAGATGTTTCACAGATTAAAGAGTATATTGCAGTTAAGATATTTGCAAAGCTCTATAAAAAGTAAATCGATGGTAAAACAATCCAATGCCCAACTCGAAAAGCTTCAAATAGATACTTTAATTTGAACAAAATGAAATATTAGCTCTCTCTTAATGCCGGGTAATATAGATAAACGATGCTCATTCAGTTTAATCTAATTGAGAACTATTGTTAATGAGACTCGGATTTATTTAATTCATTTAATTGTCGGTGGAAAATAAGAGTGTTTCGCATAAACGCCATTGTTACCTGTTAGTCGTTGGCCAACTTGTAAAATATAAGACAGCCAAGATATTTAATTTTTTTGATTGCTTTGTCTACGGCTTATATCTACCGCAATATCTTGGAAAACTTTATCGTCATAATCAAGTGAATTGCTTTACCTTAGTTTCTGCTCTGTTTTATAATTGTCAAGCACTTAAGCAAAGCCAATGCTAATTTTTATGCTATTGTTATTGTTGTCGTTGTTGAAAATCGCAGGAAATTTTACTTGCCAAGGCCGAAGGCGAGCGCCTGGGCATGCACATTAAGGGGGGCTTGAATGGACAGCGCGGTAATCCTACGGATCCATCTGACGAGGGCGTCTTCGTGTCTAAAATTAACTCCGTGGGAGCGGCACGACGCGACGGAAGGCTTAAGGTAACGAGTGGGTTCCTTGACAGTTGGGCGCAAAAGTTCGTTGCCCAACTGTGGCGGGACACATGAAATTGAATTGAATTGAAGTGAGCTAAACTTTTCTCTCGACCCCAGGTGGGCATGCGTCTGCTGGAGGTCAATGGTCATTCGCTTCTGGGCGCCTCGCATCAAGATGCGGTCAACGTTCTGCGCACTGCCGGCAATGAAATTCAATTGGTAGTCTGCAAGGGCTACGACAAATCCAGTTTAATGCATTCCATTGGCCAAGCAGGTGGCATGAGCACCGGCTTTAACTCGTCTACATCCTGCAGCGGTGGCAGTCGCCAAGGTGAGTAAAACCCGAAGTCGCAACGATTTTCCCAAGTTAACTGAACTTAAAAAATGTTTCCTCGCAGGCTCTCGTGCTTCTGAAACAGGCTCGGAGCTTAGCCAAAGTCAGAGCGTCTCCAGCTTGGATCACGACGAGGACGAGCGTCTACGACAGGTAAGTCCCAGTCATATTGCCCACTGGCGAAACCCTATAAGTCTCCACCACTTGCAGGACTTTGATGTATTTGCGGGACAACAGCCAGATATTGTTGCCATGCCGGAGCCCACTAGCCAAACAGGCCTGGCAGCTGCGGCTGCTCTGGTGCACGGGGCACCTTCACCCACACCCACCACACCGACGCCGCCCGCTGGGTCTGCGGCACACGCCGACTCGACACAGCCTGACACAGTGGCCGCGCAGACCGTGGCGCTTATACACGCCGAACAAACGCAGCAGCCGCCGCAGACGCAGCAAGTGGCAACAATTGGGCAGGAGAAGAGCACCCAGGAGAAGGTAAGTCAACGTCCTTGGCCTTTGGCGGACTGGTCAGTAGCCTACCTACCTGCCTTACCTACCTGTCGTGTTTAAACCAAATTAGGTGCTGGAAATTGTGCGCGCTGCGGATGCCTTCACCACCGTGCCACCGAAGTCACCATCAGAGCATCATGAACAGGATAAAATACAAAAGACAACAACGGTTGTTATATCGAAGCACACGCTCGATACGAATCCTACGACACCCACCACACCCGTCGCCCCTCTGCCGCTGTTGCCCGCGGAGTCAGCGACCGCGGCCGCGGCCGCGACCACGACCACGGCACCAGTTGCTGTTGCACAGACCCAGACACAGACCAATTCCAGTCAGCAGCAGCAACAACAACAGGTATGTATCCAGATGCACGTCTTTTGCTAACTTACTTCAACATTTCTGTGTCTCAATATTTAAGTGTGTACGTGTAGTGTGTGTTTGTGCGCCTGTGTGTGTGCGTTTTACCTTTGTTTAACGTCTCGATGTCCTTTTCATTTTTCTGTGCTACACTTTTAACATACACGAGCGCAAGTGTCTGCTCTGCTGCGCGTTCAACAAACCCAAACATAAACCCCTAAAAAGTCAAAAACCCTTCGCCTGTTTTATTTACTCATTTTTATTTATTTATTTATTTATTTTTTTTTTTTGCCTGTTATCTTCAATAACTTCACTAACGTCTGACCTTTCGAGTCGCGTGTCTGGGTGTATGCGTGTGCTTGTATCTGTGCCTGTTCGTATCGCACATTTTATAAAATTTGTACATTTCATATAACTCGTATGCGCTAACATTTGACATATCTCGCAAATCTTACTACATGAAAAGAACACTCCATCTACTTAAAATGCACATCACATAATCGTTCGTTCGTTCGTTCCTCAGTGCCTGCAGCTCATGGAGAATGTCAGCCTCCGTGTTTTTTGTTAATGCAAATTTTAATTTGAAAATCGAAAAAATATATAAATATATTGTACGTTTTTAATTGTGTCAGAAACCCCAAACCCAAATCGTCATAAACGTCAATTCGCATATGTTTATGTGCCTGGGCTTTCAGCCCAAAATTCGGCAAAGCTGAAAACTTGGTTTTTTAGAAGAAACAAAATAATTGTTGTATTAAAAGCTTTTTCTTTTTGGTTTTCTTGAAATATTTCACAACTTGTTCATAAATGGCCAGTAATAAGCCACATATTCTACGGCCTGATACATTATTACATCAGATACATTAAATACGCTTAGAGCAAGGCATTTCTTGTTAAAATCTACGAATCACCAAATGAAACTAATATATCATAAAAATGATTTTAATACAAGAACTTAGTTTTTGACCGATCCTATCTATATTGTGGTGGTTCGTTGATTATAGTTATACAAATAGCTATAAAAGCTACACTTAAAAGATTGAAAATAATTTAAAAAATTTGAACTTTTACAACTTGGATATAATGTTGAGCCACTTTAAATGAGTATCGAGAATCATATATCTTAATATTGTATTGGGACAAAAGTTAGAATCTGCGTCCACAATCTGATTGTGATATTCACATAATATAACTTTAGAAAACTAAGTTTTTCATATAGGTTTATTAAAATGTTTAGAAATGTTTTAAATGTCAAGAAGTAAATTTGATCGATTACCTTAAATACCCCAAGAAATACCCATATAGTATATCAATATTACCGTCTCAACAAATGGAACACAACATCAATCACAAGCTACTCATGAGTATTCATTATAAATCGTGTTGTATGTTTGTTTGTCGTTTGTTGCATTTTGATTTAATAGTATATAGTACTATACAATCATACTTAGCAATGCCTTGGGAATCGCGCGTTGGCTGTGGGGGTTGGGTTGGGCAGGGTATGAGTTGGTATGGTTAGGTATGAGTTATTGTACAGTAGAGTGCATGCGGAAGGGTGCTGTGCTAAGCCCCTATATATATGTATATATATATCGCTGTAGTAGCTGTTGGCTCCCCTGTGGATAGCAGGGCCTGGGAATCACAGCTGGGACCACGTGTCCCACATTTATTGAAATGGCAGCGGGCAATTTATTATTTATTAGCATATTCCGAAGACCACATTTCTTTCGTTTTGCCTGCTCAATATTGTTGTTGAAGTTGTTGCCGTTGTCGCTGTTGTTGTTGTTGTTGTTGCTGTTGCTGTTGTTATCTTATTTATGCTACTTACATTTTATATCAATTTCTGTTTGCGCCTTTATTGTTACCTTTTGGGCTGGCTGCTGCCGCTGCTTGGGCTTGTGCGGCATGCTATTGTGTATGATTGTTGTGCCTGTTGCCTTACCTTAAATCCGGTAGCATTTGGATTTGCATTGGCAGCAGCAGGAAAAGAGAAAAGAAATACCTAATATGCATAGATGGCACGTATAATAAATGTATATACAAATATATATATATATATATATATATATATGGTTTATTTTATATATCTACATAAGTATTCAAAAGCTGCGGAAAGGAATTTCCATTAAAATTTCTCTTATCTTCTTCTCATTCCTTCTTTTTATTGCTCTCAATGACGTGCGCGCCGTACCCTGCTTTTCAACATATTGTCTTTTCTCTTTTATATTCATTTTTCTTTTTAATATAATATTTTCTCCTTGTTCTTTTTTTTTTTTTTTTTTTTTTTTTTTTTTTTTTTTTTTTTTTTTTTTGATTTGCGTTTCGATTCGCAATTGTCATTTTCCTTCGCGCTTTGCGCAGATCTCAATTCAGCGTATTTCTTAACCGTCAGATGTTTCCCACTATAAGACTGAGTACTTAGTTTAAAATACAGACAAATATTTAAATTAAAAGAAAGGTTAAACAACAACAAACTTATAATGCAGACAGACAGACAGCAGCATGCCAAAGTCAATCTGTTTAAGATGTTGTTAACATATGAAGCCTCGTCGTGTTCAAAGGGCAAAGAGTTACTAAATACTGGCTGAAAGAAACTCACAACACAGAGGCTATAACTATTCGTAGGACAACAAATTCACTCGATCTAGCATCTTAAGAATACTGAACGCACCTGTCTAAGCAAATGGTTTCAATGTCCCTCACCGACCAGCTGTCTTTTGGGCTAACTAACTAATGTAAATGTTGAAAGGACATGATACAAATTGTAAAGAAAATCAAAAAAGTAAAGTCAACTTCGGGCTGCCGAAGATTAAATACCCTTGCAGACATTTAAATTGTTGTGAATGTGTTGTAATTGATTTTTCAAAAAATAATATATACATATATGTATTTTAATTGAATGTAGGTATCTTGAAAATTAAAATATCTGTTGTTCTTATGCGAGCTGTGGTCCGATTTTCACGAAATGTGGTTGAAACGCTTAAGATTTAATAAAAGCAAAGTATTTGGCTCTAGTTGGATCATTCAATTTCCTAAAATATGGTATACAACTGATGGCTCAGACTAAAACCGAGTTAAGTTGACTTTTGGCCAAGACATGAAATACATTATGTATGGCAAATCGTTGGGGTAGCTCTGAATTATGCACCTTCTGCTCTAAAAAAAGTAGCTGTACCAAGGCTTACTTCCTTATTGGATTTGTACTTCATAATATTGGGTAAATATCTGCAGGGATATATATTAATATGAAAACATCTTTAATACACACTCAAAGTCCCTCCCGGTATTTTATAAAGCAAAAACAAAATGCATATGTATTTGAACATTCCTGTGCCGCCATTTTACGGTGCCAGTATTCACATACTGTATAAGTATTGTTGTCTTTCGATGTTTACAAGGTCGTATCTATGTATATGTTATATGTATATGTATCTGAGGCGGTGTCTATTATTGTAAATTATTGTTATAGTTATATCTAACACTGTGCGGCAGGCACACGAAATGGTCCAAACACGCAACTAAATAGTACTCACAGATAAATATCTTACTACTTGGAGTCTCACAAGGTACAAAAAAGCCAACAAAAAAAGTTAATGTCTGGCCAACTATTATATAACTAGTGAATGTTGAACATACTTTCACTACAACTAGGATTTTAAGTATGTGTTATGTTACATCTATTGGAAATCAATTTGTTAATAGTTAATTGAATGGGAGATTAGCTGCTTTTGAGGAGTTTGCATTTTGATTTGATCGATTGGTTTTGTTTCTTGGTCGTTAGTTACTGTTAGTCAATATATAATATATATTGATATATATACGGCTAGATAAATGGAATAATGGAGTATGCATTTTTGATGTCAATAAATGAAATCTAAATGTTCTAAACGTAACTACGTGGACTTATTTCGGGTATACTCCAAGGAGCGGGAATATGAAGATAATTATAGACAGAACATAATAGACAGGCTTTTATTTGTATTACACGTGGGCTCAAACGTTTACATTGATTACTCGGGTTGCAACTTTTATGTTTTGTCCATTTTGTTTTTCATTGTAAGTTCTGTCATTGTTTCCTTTCATTCTTGTTAAACGTCCTTGTCTCTGTTTCTCCACGCCGTACACTCGTTTTTAAGTACGCCGTAACCGTTGTGTGCAGCTCATTCCATCCATCAAGCAAATTGGCCAGAGCAACGCAATTGCACCTCATCATCAGACAGCGACATTGCTAATTGGCTAACAAAGTGCTGGCGGGCCTGTACCTGTACCTGTACGTGTACGTAACGTTAAGAAAAAAAATAAAAAAAACTGGTTGCCGTAGCACCAAACATGTCATCATGTGCACAACCAACATTCAACAGCATATCAACATCCACAACAGACCACACACTCAAACTCAAATTCAAACGCAAACTCAAACGCACTCAATTAACGTCGCACATTGCAAATTTGTGTTTCATGCTTGTGTGTGAAGCTGTTCCCACCAACAACAAAACTGAAAACTTAATGAAAAACCCAAAAATCCAAAATCCAATAGCAGCGCGGCACACAGACACCGGAACGTGTGGCGCCCGGAGCACGTTATTCCTATCAGCAAATGCTGGAGAGCCAGGAGGAGAGCCGGGTGCAAGAGCCCACAACAACGCCCAAGAAGGCCGAGCCAGTGTATATCATAGACGATGAGGATGACGATGAGGACGAAATTGATGCCATTGCGGAGGAGGACGAATCCTCGCCGCCCGTCGACATACAGTCGCCGCCTTCGTACGCCGACACCGACTCCGATTGCTTTGAGCGTCCGCGGGGACGCTACACCAGCGACTCGGAGAGCGATTGCCGGCCCTACAAGCCGTCACGTTCCGGGCGCAGCACGCCGGAGTATGCGGGCGGCCATCGCAAGTCCGTGAGCTTCGATCTGAGTGGGGACGAGCGCTCCAAGTCGGATTATGAGCGCTCGCGTTCCCGCACGCCGGATCGCTTCACGCGCGCCTATGACTCGGAGCAGGATACGCGCACAAAGGCCATGGGTCGCATGCCGCGCAAGGGAATCCTGCGCGCCACCAGTCCTAGCTCCTCGGCGAGCTCCACTCTGGAACGTCGTCCCGAAAAGCCGCCGCCCATCGTTCCGACCGTAGCGCGCATACGCGAGGTAGAATCACCTCAGCTGCAGCGTGTCTCCCGCGCAACATCGCCTGAGCGACCGGGTGAGCTGGAGCGCGAGAATCCCTTCCGTCAGGTGGAGCCCCATGAAGATGACGAATACACGCAAATAGCCAAGGCAATCAGCATGTCGCCGCGCTCGCCGCGTGATCAGTTCTTTTTTGGTGCCTCACGCTCCAACGAGGATCTGATAGAGCAGTCGCATTCCAGCGGCCGCAGCACGCCCAGCACGGTCATATCGAAGTCGACGGAGAGCTTGACGGGCGCACGGCCCAAAGTGCCGCCGCCTACGCTGCCCAAGCCGCAGCTCAAGAAGGCCGATCTGGTGCGCAACGTGGCGCTCGAGACCTTCCAGGCCACCGATGTGGGCCAGGGTGACTTTGCGGTGTTCGAGCACGACGCCAGCACCAATACCATACACCAGGTAGCCAAACTGCCCGTTCGCCTGGCCAGCAAGTCGTCCTCCAGGCCTCGTGAGAGTCCGCCGCCGCCGCCCGTCAACTACTCGACGCTGCCCAAATCGCCGCTGCCCAAGCTGGCGGCTTCGCTGTTGGAGGAATCCGCCTATATGGAGGCACTGCCGCCAGCACAGCGGCGTCCAAATGATTTCGTTCACGAGAACTCGCCGGACAACATATTGGTAACGCCGGAGCAGCATCGGGATTTCCTGTTGCGCGAGAACGAGATGAGGAATCAGCTGCGCGCTCCCTACGAGCCGGCGCCGCCCATACCCATAGCAGCCGGTAGCGGCGGGGGTGACAACAGCAACTATGCGGTAAACAACCCTTTTCTAGATTGTTGCGACACTGACATTGACAGCCTGCCACTGCCTCCACCACCCCCAATACCAATGCCACCAACACCGACAAACGCCGAAACACCCGCACCGCCCGCCCAGCATTCATCAGCACGTCATTTGCATGAGCCGCCACTAACCGCTGTCGCCACTAACGCAACAACATCTTATTCTCCCATTGCCAATGCTAACAACTATCTGATGGATGCCGCGCCGCTGCCGCAGCCGCAGCAGCTGCTGTTGGGGCCCGCAACGCCCGCACAAATCTTTCCCGCGGCCCAAATACTGCCCGTGCAATATGCCAGCCTGCCGCAGCCGCAGCAGCCCAATAAACTTCGGCTGGGCGGTGCGGGTTCGCCGCCGCAGCCCGTGTTCAACGTGCTGCTGCTGCCCGGCGATCAGCGCCAGGTGGCGGCTGCCCCCGGTGGCAGCTCTTCCACAGTCGGGTCGCTTTATCTGCAGGCGTCACAGTTACCGGTGAGTGAAACGCGTGTTGCTGTCTCATCGTCCACGCCCGTTGCCACGCCCAAGTCGCCCTCCTATGCCACCATGAAGTTCCCAACGTTCTCGGAAATACTGGTCAGCCCAGACTCAAATAGCAATTACCAGAACATGACCACAGCTCGCGTTGACATATCGAACTCGTCGCTGGGCACCAGCAGCTCCTTCTCCATTAACTCGTCCAACTCGTCGCTGCTGACAAAGACCGCATCTGCGGTCGCTGCGCCCTACAGCAGCTACTATGAGACAGCTGAGGAAATCTATTCGACCATCGAGGAGGAGGCCATTTACAGTAATACCGCGTTCTTTGATTCCCGTCGCAGCAGCGACACCTCCCTAAATTGTCGCGCCTCCGCCTCGCCCACTCCGCCGCCCTTGCCACCGAAGCGACCGCTAAAGCCCAGCAAGCTGCGCACAGCGCCGCCGCCTCCGGTGGCCCAGAAGCCGCACGGTCTGCGTGGCATGGCCAACTTCAAGCTGCGTTCGCAGTCACAGCCACAGCTTTTAACAACAGCTACAGCACCCACCACGTCCCGAACGCCCCAAACGCCCACAACGCCAAGTGGCAAGGAGACGACCGTGTAGCCCACTTTCGAGATGTCCACTTGAGCTAGCTCTGGCTCTGCCTGGCGTCTGTGCCTGTTGCTTTCTGGGTCAAGCTGGCGACGCTTCTTAAGTGCTCCCTAGTTAACTGCCGCAATTGCATTACCACAAACCAACTCCCCCTCCCCCGCCCCCCTCGACCAGCGCCTCGTGCATTTTAATTAAAATCCAACACCTTTTTAGCCATCAATTAAAAGTGCAACAGCAAATTGAGCAGCGCCGTACAGACGCTGCTGTAGCTTTCAATATTTTTATTTGATTGATTGCTTGCCGGCAACGAACGGAGGTGTGGTTGGAGCGGGGCGGGGGAACAACCACTGCAACCTGCCGCAAATCACCTGCAACCTGCAACCCGCCGCATCAGTCTTCCTAATTAGATGCGACTTTTTGTTGACTTTGGCGCCAGCCACCACACCTGCCAAATTCCTGCTGACACACAGCACAGACAGTCCGTGAACAGTTCAAGCTAAATGTGCGCACCCAACCGCCGCCCCTAAGCACCTCAATCAACATTCTGCTTATTCTCTTTCTCTATTTCTTTTGTTTATCGCTCCCTTCCTCTCGCTCGCTCTCTCTCTCTCTCTTTCTCTCTGCTTTTGGTCGAGTTTAATTTGACGTTGATTGAAACGTTCGTTGCTTAAAGCGCTGCAGTTACCTCGCCCGCTCGATTCCTTTCTCTTTTATTTCACAACTTGGCGAACACGAATAAAAACCAACGAGAAAATTGAAGTAAAATCCACACACACACACACACACACACACATATTCACAAGGCAGACACACAACTTACAAAAAATACAAATGCAATTTACAATTTATATAGTTAATTTCTGCGTAGAGCTCTTAAGTTGATTTTAATGCTAATTTATTTTGACTAACCAAGCAAGTTGAATATTTTTTTAAATACCTATCTTAAATAAACGATTCTGTGTAATTCGACATGTTGGCTTTCTCTCTTTCATTTTGTGTTGTCCCTACCCAGTTGATATGAGCTTATCCAAAAGATAAGTTATGCTCTGCGTGACCTTGATTAATTCACCTGAGCTGAACTGGTTCGCAACTTGGCTAACTGAACATGCCACGCCCCACGCCCATGCTGCACGCTACGTGCCGCACGCTTTGGCGCCTGGCGCTGCACTGATTTGTCGCTTTGGGCAATGCGACACAGTTGGCCTCAGCTTTCAGCCAACTCGCAGACTCGCAGTCTTATCTTATCAGTTGACACTGTTAATTGCGATACGCGATAAGCGCTGCCAATGTCTGTGTATTGATAACACACTAACAAAAAACTCAAACACAGACACTTGAGTGGCGAAGGGGGGAATTATTCAATAGCTTATTGGCTTTTAATGCGTTGACCAGAACTGCTTGACCCGTCCGCACATGCTGCTGCTGCTGCTGCAGTTGGTTGGGCTTGTGGCCATTTTCTCAACACTTTCATGGCTCAATAAATTTCTATTAGCTCGTCCGCCGTTCGTCCTGGCAGGGTGCATAGCATAGGATATAAAGGAGCCGGTCGCCGCTGCTGTTGCTTCAATCTAAGTACGAGTATCGAGTTTAATTGAAAATCGAAAAATCCGATACGAAATTAATTTCTTTGCTAAAAATACAGCTGACCGGATCCTTGGCTGCCAGCTCCTGGCTGTTGCCTGATGGCTTTTGTACATGTAGCTGCGTACTTGACTTGTCCTCAGGGGGAGTTGGGAATTGGGTGGATTAGCTGCTGATATCGCTTTTCCATGCACTTGTCGTTAGTCGGTCGCTTGCTGCTCTCCTTTATTTATGAGCCTGGCCTTGTGTGTTGGCCATTGTAGCGCGTTCGAGTGTGCGTGTGTGTTTGTGTGTGTGTGTGTTATCCATGCAAGCCAAAGGATAAGGTTGCAATTTGTGCAGTTTAACGCTGGCTTTTGCTCTTGCTCTTTCTACTGCCGTTTAATGACTTTGTCGTCGTTACAGCAGCCGCCCACACACACTCGCGCCCCTCCACCTTTCTTACCCTGCAGGCACTGGCCTTCTCATATTGCCTAAACCGAAGAAATTGCTTGAAAGCATAAAACCGACAGTACATGACTTTGGATGATAAATTGCCAGACCCAGTCCAGTTCTGCCCTCTGTGTTGCCCTGTGCTCATCCCAGCCGCCACAGTTGTAATTTGCGTCCCCGCGTCCGTAAATGATATGCCTTGGGGCAAAAACAATGCGTTGATTCCCTCCTTTTGTTGGTCATTTCATGAGCTGCTCCTAACATCCTGCTGTTGCTGTTTTTGCCCTGCTCCCGCGCCCGCGCCCTTGTTGCTGGCGTGTCAGACTAACAAATGCTCCACCATCGTTCCATGTGCTTTTTAATAAACTTGTGCAGTGCCATCAATTTGGTTTATGGTCGTTTCGGATTTCTTTGACTTTCATTTTGAAAACTGCAGTTTTTCCAGTCGTTTAATTGAAAATAGACAACGCGAGTCAAAGTTTTTGACTATTGACTTTTTGTTTGTTTTTTTATTTTTTATGACTCGCTAACAAAAGGTTTTGCATTTTTCCAGCCATCACCTGCGGCCGAGAATGCGCCGGCCATGGCCACACCAACACCCACAAAAGTGCCTAAATCGGTATCCGATAAAAAACGATTCTTTGAGTCTGCCATGGAGGATCAACACAAGCCCACACAAAAGACAGGTGAGTTGGTGTCTAACTGCAAAGAGAAAACAACACAACAAACACATCAAACAAATAAGACTAGTCCAGTTGGCAGTGACCGACTAGGAGATGCCCTGCACCCAGCGGCGAGCTGCCGTCACCAAATATTCTAGCTTCCTGCTACACAAGAGGGCCAAATTTAGGGCAAAATCATCAATTCGCATATGCAAAATGAACTAAAAATTTCTATCGTTCTTTAAAGGAGTTCATTCGTTATTTGATGTGATTTCAAATGTAGATGTAGATTTATCCATATGTTCACTAACCCAGAGTTTATAAACCTAACACATATCTCAGTATACATCAAGTCTCTAGCTTCCACAGAGGGTGGCGTGCATATCAATATACTCTTTTCAGTTTTTTGAACTAGTATAAAAACTCTGTTGCGCATAAGATACACAATAATAAGATAAAAATGAAGCCAGCTCTCAGTGGTTGGCTGTCGGGCCGCGAATCCATTGCTTCTTGTGTCTTGTGCTGGCAATTCTTATCAGGTTTTTGCTCAGTGGCTTGTGTAATTAGAAAAGGAGGCGTGCGACTGTACGTAGCGCCTGCCTCGGTGGAATTTGCATGACAAAGAAACGTCAAAGGAGGTAAAAGAGAGACAGAGAGAGAGGGAGAAAGAAAGAGAGACTTCACAAGGATATAGTTGGCGTGCGCAAATGCAGTCAGGGATTAATGCTAACCACGGAGGCGTTGGCTAGTGCAGCAGCACGGGTTTTTTACATTTAACTAATTTATATATTTTTTTGACTAGCTTTAAGTAAAGGCGATTTGATGGACGAGGCGGGTGTGGGCGGGGGGCTGTCCGCAGTTTCAGCGCAATAAAATGTTGGTGGTTTTAAGTGAAGGGTGGTTAACTAAAGTGGTTTTGCTTCTTCCTACAAATTGCAGATAAAGTTTTTTCGTTCCTGTCAAAGGACGAAGTCGAAAAGTTACGGCAGGAAGAGGAAAAGAAAATTGCAACACTGCGTCGTGATAAGAAATCCCGATTATTAGATGCTGCCAATGACAACATTGACAAGGACGACGATGCCAGGCATCCTGATAACAGGCAACAGAATACCGCTGACAACAGCAGCAGCGGCAGCAGCGAGTACAACAGCGACGACGACAACGGCGACGAGGACCACAACGAACTGCTGGCAAGCGGCCGCCAGGATGTCGTTGACAATGTCGTGCGGGCACAGTTCGATGATGCGGAGGACATGAGGTAAGTGCGCTTCAGAGCCAAAGTCTTACTGGATCATTGGTGCTTGCGCTCTTTTTGCATTTTATGTTACATTTCAATGCACAGACACGTCCACAATTGGTCACTCCACAACACAATTATGATAATGACACACATACACACACACACCCGCACACTTCCACACATATTAGCTATAATACAAGGTGTTTGTGCATTTGTCTTATCTATTTGCTTGATGTTAAGTTTTAGGTATTGGTAAAGTTTTCGACTGCTGCCTTTTGGTTTGGTGCTGGTGCCGGTGCTAAGAAAAAAAGCTTTGATTTATGTTGCTCTTAAATTAAATTAAATTATCCATAAGCATCTGTCTATCTCTTTCTCTGACACACACACACAGACACAAACATATATCGTAGTTCATATTTTTCACTCCACATGCCGCACATCCAGCCAATTGACGGAGCTGATCATCATTATCGAAACGTAGTGTGTATGTTATAAGCATCTATAAGCAAGTTAAATAAGTAGCCCTTACATGTAGTTATATACCATATATCTATATTAAGTACCCACACTTGCGCATATATACACCCAAAGCGGTTTAAGTTTTAAGTAGCACTTAGGCGATGTCTGGACTCGTAAATCGCAGAGGAGCCTCTGAGGCGTTTTGCCACTTAAAAACATGTTATGCCTCTTATGCGTGGTGCCTCATATTTCTACAGCCATCAGGCAGAGATAGAAAGAGAGCGAGAAGGAGAAGGGGAAGGGGAAGGAGAGCGAGTTCTATATTAATATATCCATCCAGTGGCGCATAACTCGACATTATCTATAAAAGGCTCTGGCATAGAGCTTCGACTGGTAGCAGCCAAATTTATTCTCGCATTACGGCGCTTTGTGTGTTTATTTTGCAGCACATCGCGTATAAGCAATGTTCTCTCATGCCCGCGAGCTGCTCGATTGGCAGAGTTTTGCTTTTGTGCACTGGCTGAAAATTCAATTCCCGCCGGCCCAATGCCAGCTGTTTTCGCAATTGGTTAACTTCATTTTTCAAGCAAGCCGCAAATTGCGTTCGAAGCGCCTCCCACGCAGCCAGCATTAATGGCAAACGGGCAACTGAAAAGGTCGCCTCGTGGGCGGATACAACACGCGCTCAGCTCGAGCTAGGCATAATTTAGGCAGTGCGTGGATTTCAATTTATGCGCAAACATCCTCTGATCTTTTTGGAGTACAACGCGAGAACTGTATTTTAATAAACAATATTCGTTGGCTGCGACTTAATTTGTTAACCCACAAAATCGCTGTCAGTGTCATTCGAAGTTGCATGCAACATGTAGCAAACTTTTGCCAACTCCATCAAGCTGTTGCTGGCTTAAATATAAGTATCTCTATGTGTGTACCTCTCATGTATGTCAGAAGGCAACTGGGAGCCACTGCTGATGTCATTCCCATTCCCGTTGGCCTCCAGCACCCTTCAAGCAGTTGTTATTTTTTTGTTGCCCGACTGTCGTCTGTCCATGCTGCTGGCTGGCGTACCTTTACATGTTTATCAGGTAACGTATGTCTGGCGTGTAGCGCCGTCGCCCATGGCGCGTTTGGTTCTAGTTGTTGACTCTGGCAGCATTATGTAATGAGCAACAACAATGTAATTTAATACAATTTTATCCACACTCCAGAGTGTTGAAGGACAACAAAATGGAAACAAACAAACTGAAATAAAGGCATGAAATTCTACCTCTAAGCGTACAAAAAACCAAATACCCTGGCGATTCCCAACTTCCATTAATCGGATATATTACAATATGGGTATTGTTCAATAAAAACGTATTAAATGAATGTCACTTAATTATAAACACTTGATTTTAAAAATATTTCATTTCACGTCGTTGAAATCAATGTCAGAGTTCAGGCTGCGCCAGGTGTCTAATTACCCAACGAGTTCGAGCCAGGCTAGGGTATCGTAGATATTGGGACTGGAGTTAATTGCATAACCCTGTTATTGAAATGGTCAATCAATAATATAAAGGAACAACAATTTATTGAAATATTGAGAAATTAATCGCAAAGAGTATATCTGAAAAGTTGCATAATGACCTGTGAAAAGATTTAAGTACATTTTCTTTTGGCTCTTGCTAAATTTGGTTCTGTGTGCTTCTGGCATGTGTTGCAAACAGTCTGACAAAGCTGCATAACCCCTGAAAGTGGCACACAAACAACAAGTCGTGGCATGCACATGAAAGGTAGACAACACGAGATATCATTTAGCGGCACAAAATAACAAGTCGCAAGACATCGGAAGCAACCCGCAACCCACAAAGCGCTGTCTGTCCTCAACGCTGTCCGTCGTGTGTTTGCGAATTAAATGTATGAGAAGTAGAGCGGGCGGCGAGAAGGCAGCTATGAAAATATTTCACAAACAAAGAGCCATTATGTACTTTTCATTACGCAAGCGTCTGTAACGTAGCATTAATGGCCTTAGACGTGAAAGTAAAGACGGACGGCTAAGCTGATTTGCCAGTAAGAAGGCGAAGACTCTTGCGCTCTATTTGAGCCTTTCCTAACTTCAGTTTAAATCGCGCTTGTTATGATTTTAATTAATTCTCCGAAAGACTTTTAGCTTAGCTCTTTTTTAGAAACAAGATGTTCTTTATATTACATGACGCACAACAAAACTGGTCTACAAATCAATGACAACCTTGGAGTCAAATTTGCGCAGCTTCCTAAGCCCAAGCCGCGCCGACTGACCAAATGGCTTACAGCCCGAAATTTGCATAAATTTAAATGTGTGCTATTATGTTGGCGTCGTTCGGCCTTGGTGTTCATATCATAAGAAAAGGAGACAAACATGTTAATAACCTATTTACAAATTTCCCAGCAAGAATTTCTACTAGTCTTGTTTCTATGTTTATTTATTTTTTTGTTTTGCGCATAAATTTAAGTTGCGCCGCTGCCGTAAAACAGACAAAAGAACTATGTCCGATAAAAAACGAAGAAGATATTTTGATATGCTTATATGGCCACAGCAAATTAGTCGGCAGAGCAATGTTCTCAATGATCTTTTTGTATTTATATTCAAATTAAACTCGTTTAAATCTATAAAAATGGTGTGTAGCACAAAGGCTCGCTCAGATCCGTGTTTATAAATTCTTTGCCAGCTTCCGTGGCGACAAACTTAACGTTAACGTCAACGTCAGCGTCAACGTCGACGTCGGCTTCGTTGTCGGCAAAACGCAATCGAATGATTATTTGTGCATTAATCGGCTAATTTATAGTTTGATAATTTATGAACTATTTCTAGTTGCCAGACGCTTAAACGCTTTGGCTAACCGCTTTGCCAGCGGCTGACTGACTCGACTGACTCCCTCGCTCTCGCTTTCAATTGGCTTTGGCCGTTTGGCGCAGCGGTTGCCCTTGAATTAATCGCGACGTCAAGACAATTGGTCAGCTTTGGATTTTGTTTTCTTTGTCTTTTTTGTGGTTTTCTTGTTTTTTTTGTTTTTTTCTTCTTTTTTTTTTTTGGTATTTACATTTATGTACGACCACAGCTTCTTGGGCCGCTTTTGTGATTTTATGCAGATGAAAATATTTATGTTTTGTTGATTGCGCATAAATTAATTTATATTTTATGGCGTTGGCGCTACGTTCGGTCCACAAATGGACCGCAGCGCACCGTAGCGCATATGCAAATCCGTGTGTTTTATTTTTGTGTTTTCTGATATAAAAGCATAATTTGACCTTAAGCCAAAATGAGGGCGTTAATGGTGCTCTTTAGATATATGTGTGCGTGTCCAGCTATTTCTGTTGCGCTTCTTCGCATACAATTATTGTTTTTTTATTTTTCAGTTGTATTTCGATTGTTTTTTGTACAGTTTATTTGTTGCTGTTGGCGCATAAATATTAATTAAAGTTGGAAAAACCACGACAACATTAAGTGGAAAAGTATGAGCGAGAGCAACTTAGCCGCAGCAGCAGCACCACCACCAAAACAAAACCTAAAGGCAGTTGAACATTTACTTAGCCCCCCACAATGAGATTTCCTTCCTTTATTTAATTATTATTTATCTAATTGCTTTTGTTATCCGTACCTGTGTACCTGCAAGCCCGGCAACAATGCACCTGTTTAATTGTACATCACAAAAACTTTCTGTTTCTGCTTCTCACCAACTTTTTTCAGGAATCCACTTGACGAAATTGAAGCAGTATTTAGAAGCTAATACTAAACTAAGTTCTGACACCAATACACACTCACACACACACACTAATGAAGATGTGACACGTTTATTGACTAAGTTCCGATATCTAGCCAAATAGATACGTAGCCTATATAAATATACTTATTAACAATTTCAAAGCGAGAGAATTTGACTAAGCTTAGTTACTGCCTCACACGAAAAACTAACTAACTGCATTCTACATTTACTATGAACACCCATTTTTATATGCAGCAAAGTTTTATATTGTTAGCGACTACGCAACTCAAGATACTTTAATATACTATATACTGCAGCAAGAGGAGATCGCACGCCCACATAATAAGCATAGTGTTAATGTTGACCTTTTTTTTCAACTTATACGATATGTTATTTCTCTTTTCAATTCGCTGCAAACTTTTACAAAAAACGAAAGAAAAAAAGAGCTGCAGCGTTGTTCACTTCACCAGCACTTGAAATGCTTTTACACACCTCTGCCACACTCATACACCTGCAGCGGCTTTAAAGTACTCACTCACACACACACACACACACACACACACACAGTTATACACGCCCACTTACTGACTCACTTGCCGCCCTTAGCGCCAGGGGCCAAGTTATTAGCATATACTACCACACGCGTTTAGTATTTGAAAAAAAAGTGGAGAAAATATAAAATTAAAAATAATGATTTTTAGAGCAGGACAAGGAGTCTAATTAAAATGCTCTAGGCACGTTTAGCTGTGCATACAAAAACGGAAGAGGAGAGCGAAAGAGAGGGGAAGGAGTTATAATGCCTAGTTATATATATGAGTAATTCCTGACTATAGAGTTACATTTGTTCAGTCCTAGAAGCCGTCGTTTGTCATTGTTTTAATTTTAAAGACAACTCGACCAATTTCCATAAACTAACTAAACAAATAATACAAACTTGTTGGGTGAAATCTAGTTGAAACAGTTTTATTCATGAGTTTAACCGCAGTATTTAGTTTTATCTGCGACGATTCCATGCGCAGCTCCTGAAAAGATATTCCCGCAAACGCATGCATGTTAAGTTTATGAAATCGAGTACGTTGTTGTAGTCAGCGTTAAAATTTTTAATTATATTTTTTATAAATATTTATATGATTGTATATGTATTAATATAATTACAAACACACACACACACGAATTAAGTGTTCTATATATGTACTACGTTTACGAAATCCATGCATCATCATCTTCAACAACATCCACAACTATTTATGCTCACACATTGCCAATGCATTTCCTGAATAACATGTGCCATATATCTTATATATGAATGTATGTATTTTTTGTTACTTCGCATCATAATGGAAAAATGTCTATGAATAAATGAAAAACAAAATCAATTTCAATTTATTGCAGTTTGTCATACATTCTACATATTAACTAACAAACAAATATATCTCGGTTATGGTTATTTATTCATTTGATTTACTTAATCTCGTCAAAATTATTGAAAACCAAGAACTAGGAGCAAAACGAATTCCAAGTAAAAGAGTACATTGTAAAAAGTTATAAGGACACTCTATACATAAATCTGTCAATTGCAAAAGTTCAACGCGTTTAAATACTATATATATATATAAAATGGCCGGATTGTCCCGCTGGGTCGGAATGCCAGCATGTCTGGTGGTGCCCTCTGGAGTGCCTGCGCAAAGTTCATTTAAAAGTCGAAAGGACAAATGAATGAATAAAGCGAGCCGAGCAAATGGCAGCGCCAAATTGTTAAAAAAAGAGAGAGGAAAAATGGTATAACAAGTGCAGCTTGGCCGGGTCAAGCCTGGCCGCACTTAGCCAACACTGCAGCTGCGCCTTACTATGCGCTTCTCAGCCGTGACAGCTGCTGCTCACTCGTAGGTGGCTGAGCTTCTCGCCGCCAACGGCGGCGTGTGAACTGGAATACATAAATCACTCAAGCTGAAGTTGCAGCCACCCTGATTCAGCTGCAATAATTTCGCATTAAGCTTGAACCGAAAGTGTGTAGCAATTTGTTTAAGACAAAAGCCACTTGCAGCGAGTTCTTAAAAAAACAAGAAAGCGTGCTCTAGTCAAAAGTGTTCGACTAGCAGATATCCTAAAATCACTCAGACCATTGGAAATGAGCTTGTAATTAACCACGCTGTTTATTGTCCGATCTTTATAAAATATATGGCCTCCGAATGTTTATTAATACCAAAGTCTTTTCTTCAGTTTCGAGTGCAGCACTCTACAACTGCGCATTCATCCCAAATTGGTGGATCTACCTCTTATGCCTCCTCCAGGCACAGGAGAACCTTCTACCTTATAGATGCACTTTCAACATTATACCCTTTTGTGTCCAATATCAATGGGTTAGGGTATAAAAATCGGTCCACAAAGTTCGTCAGTGGCAGACTTAGGCAACCGTGCACAGCCAGAGGAGGAGCAATTGGAGGAAGTGCGTGGAATACCACTGGCGGATGAAACCTTATTGCAAATAGTTTTGTGTGCTCACTTTTAAAATTAATTTTGCATACATACGTATATATTTATATAGTGCTATATATATATATGGATATGTAAAGCAGAATGGCAACGCAAGTTTTAAGACTTAGCCGACTTGCAAGTACTCGTGGCTTATGCCATGCCTGAGCCAGATTGTCTCGAGCCTTGGGTCTGGCTGTGACTCTGTACTCCTGTTCTTCATTCTCCATTTTCCGTTCCCTGTTCCTGCGTCTGTGCATCGCCTCAGTGCCTTGGTTGTCTGCCTTAACACGCTAATCTCCAGATGCCATGTTATTGCACTTGTTGGCAAAGTTGTTCAAAAAGTGATTTTGTCAGTGACGGGGATTTGGGCTAGGCGTGGGCAAAAGTTTTCAATGTGTTTCTTGGTTTTTAATTACAACAAATTTGACTTGCTGTGCCAAAGTTTGTTGCATGCAGCCGCAGGCACGTACACATCTGACTAAAATGAATTAACGTCATTGTTTTTGTAAGCGTTCCCATATCATGTGCTAACCGCATTACACATTCACAAGTTTGTTTGGCCAAAACCAAAACTCTTTTTGTTTTGCATATTATCTGTATATTCTTAAATGTGTTTTACTTTGCACAATTGAAACACCAAACAAATCTTAAACCCACAACAAAAAATGACAGAACCGCACAAGCTCAAGCGCAGACAACGCACGCGCCTAGCAAAATACCCAAGCAGCTGCGGCAGCAGCGCGCCAAGGCCACGCCCACGCCCACTGCGGCGCCTGGCAGTGATACGCCCAAGCCTTCACTGCTGCCCAAGCCAAAGGTCAAAGTTGTGATGCCGCCCGCGCTGCAGCAACGTCTGTGGCAGCACCAGCAACAACAAGAGCAACAGCAGCAACAATCTCAGCCCGAGGAGCCAACCATACACGAAGAGGAGCAGCCGGCCACGCCCAGCGGCTCTGGCAGCCGCATACCCGTGCGCACACTGAAGGCAGAACGCCGCGCCCTGGCAGCAGCTGCACGCCAGGCAGGCCTCACTGTGGACGACTACGTCCGACAGCTGGAGGAGGAGCAGCCGCAGCTGGAGCAGGGCGCCTCGCCCACAACGCCAGCGGTCAAGAGCCGCGCCATGATGAAGTAAGTTGAATGCGTGGCGGTCAAAGAGTTGACAAGCATGTGAGCAGAAGTCCACAAGAAGTCGCCGCAAAAGTCACAGGTCAAATGTGATGGCAAATCAACAGCTCGTAGGCGTAGCCATTTAGTTTAAGTACCCGTTTGCTATTTAGCTTCCGATGGCGAACACACACACACACACACACAAACAAACAAACACATACAAACGAGCAAAAACACATGCACACGCACATGCGAGAGGCAACTATTAGTTTCAATGTGATACTCCAGCCTATATCTTTATATCTATGTATATAAATCTCTGTCTGTAAATCTAGGGAAACACTTTCAACTTTCTTTTAGTTAGTATTTTTTTGTATTACTTTTTTGGTGTGTGTTTTAGTTACTTTACTTTGGTATATCTTATCGACACATACTTTTCTCTTGTAATTAGCCTTTACGAAGGAATTGTCTTCTGCAGCACCTTTTACCTATTACTTACTAATATTGTGTTTATTTTCACGCAGCGCTGAGAAGCGCGCCTCTTGGCGTGCCGCACGCCTACGCTCCTTGGAACAGGGCGCGGTCGAGGCGCAGGATGTGATCAAGAACATGCGCAAGATGACCGACGATTTGATCACACACGAGTCCAGAGCCAGCGAGGTAAGTTCTTGGTTACCCCGACTACTCTAATCCAGCCCACTTTCAAGCGAAACCCCAAACTATAAAGAACAAAACATCCCAAAATTCGAATGCAGCCATTAACATGCGTGTTTTGCCCGAGGAATTCGGCTGAGCCACTCCTAACCAGCTAAAGATTACAACCCATAGAGCTACATGGTTTGCTTTACTAACCACAACAACAATATACTAAAATTAATTAAAACAAGCATCCAAATGATTCTGTTTCATTTTGAAATGTAAATAATGCGAAGATAGTTCACTCGAAACGTAGCTAGGGACTTGAATAGGGCACAATATTTGAAATCTCTTTATCAATTTTAAAATGATATTCATTTCATATATATATACCAAAATTTTTCTCTCTCTGTAACGCAGCCGAAAATAGTCTTTCCAAAAATTGCCATAAAGTCTAGCGATGGCCCGGTCATCGTGCGCGAACGCGAGAAAATACTCGATGAGAAAATTGTGCGGCGCACTGAGGAGGTGCCCTGCCCCATAACGGGGCAACCTCAATTGCGCACCGTTGAGTACATTGAGAAAATCATCGAGACGGAGGTTAGCTAAACCAACTAAAATTGATTGTATACATTTAATTGGCACCAATTTTGAGTTTCGTTAGCAATGCAAAAGCGTTTTACATATTTTTTTGGTTGAAAGCTGCTTCTGTTCTGTACTTGTAAGCGTCAACGTTGTGAGCTCTCTCGTCTCGCTCCAGCTCTCGATTTTGTAGTATCTTCACGTATTTTGCACATCCTAAAAAACAATTTAATGCACTGCACACAGAGCACCCAACACTTGTATCACTGTAAATAGCATATAGTACATTTCATCAAGATTCGCCCGTCTCGCCGCAGACTTAATTATTTTATAGAGCTCATGATTTTTATGTTCCAAGTGCACAAAACTTGCTGCCTTCTGAGAAGTATCTTTAGATCTTGTAAGTGCCATACCACAAATGTTTACCAGTTGTCTTTCTGTTCTTGTTGTTTTAAGCTTTCAGTTGCGCAGTGGCTTTGTTGACATTGCGCCAGACCCCCGGCCGCCCACCTGAAGCTGTGGGCCGCTCCTGTTCTGGCTGAAGTGCAGCGCATAAAAAGGACAATAAGCTACTTTTGTGAGGCACCTACGCGAAAAGGTCTTGTGATGAAGCTCGACGGCAACAACAAAAACCATTTTCCCGGTTATTGTTGTCTTAAGTGTCGTGGTTTTTAGGACCCCATTCACCCGTCCCAACCGCACCATTTGGCGCGTATCCGTTTTGGGGGCTCAACCTTCAAAGAGTTTCATTGTTTGTTTTGGGCTTGTTGTTGTCACGTGTCCATAAAGCAGAGACGACCGCGAATTTTACGCGTTTGGGGCCTGATTCTTGATTCATTTTGAGTATGCAAACGCATTATAATGACGTGCACCATTTTATGGCAAAGTCCATTAAAATTAAAGCAAAAGTTTTGTCTCATTTTGCTGCGGCGTCGTTTTAATGATTCTGATCGAAATAAAACCAACAACATAACATTTTATGGCCTCGGCTATTTTTGGCCACAAATCTGTGTTTAAAAATTGCCTCTGTCGCTTTGCTGTGATTTTCAATTTATAAGCGGAAGGAAGCGCAACGAACGAGAACCGGCTAAAATGTCAACGGCATACAAGTTTATGCCCGACTTCCACAAGCTGCCAACTCTGGTAATTTGAGAGCAAAAACTTTGCTCGAGCCAAGCAGCCCCCAGAGCTGACCCAAATGCTCTGAATGCACTGCGGGACGGCTGCATCCAGTTTCTTAGTTAGCTCAGTGCGAGGCGGCCTGTCAGCGGGCAGCCTCAGCTTATCGTCTTTCTGCAATAGAATCCTTTTACTTTGTCAGCGAGCAAACGCTGGCAATTTTCTCTGCAGTCGGCCTTGTTGTCATCAGTTTTCCAGCAGTTGCTGCTGCTCGAGATTCATGCCTCATTTATCCTTGGGGTCCATTTACACAACTTTCATATTCACGCTTTTATTACACATTTCATAAATTTCGTTTCTCGTTGGAAATATATATTTAAAACCCTTGAAAGCAATTAATTTTTCTCTTTCTCTGAAAAGTTATAAGAGTGCTTGAAGTTCTCAACTTATTTTTACATGTTGCATATTGAATGTTAAATAATAATCTACTCGAATAGCTTGTTTAATACAACTTTTTTTTCTTATTCATGTGTATATAAAGACAATAGAGATACACGATATATGACAATCCAATACACGAACTTGATAATCGTTAAATACTTGAAGCTGTTAATATAAATATGGTTTTCTTTTACTTAAATTCATTCTAAGACTATGATAAAGGACAAACAAATCAACACATAAAGAATTTATGAATAGAAACAGCTACTTGTTGACCCTTTGAAAGACCCCTCATGACTTTAGGAATGTTAGTTCAATACAATAAAACAATACTTTAAAATAAACAAAATGTTCCGATTATCATATATGTATAAAAAATCATCGATCATCAACTGATTAATTTACTAAAACTGTGCTTTTAAGGGTTTCAGAAACGGGTAGAATTACAATAATTGTTTATTATCCATCTTTTGTATTGCGTGTTGGCATGTCTTTTAACTCATCTATAATTTTCTAATAATCTCTATATTAATCATGGTAATGGAAACCACATCATATAAGCCTTACACCAGTTCTTGTTCCTTTGCCCACACTTCTAAAAACATGTATATTTATAAATGATTAGCTATGGTTTTGGTCCCGCTGCTTGGTGCTGATTTCTGTTGCCTTCATTAGTAGTTAGTAGTATGCCAGCAAACCAAATGCACAACGTATCGCATTCCGATTCCAATGTATTTAGGTGGAGACCTGCAAGGAGCGCATCATTTCATTGGAGCTGCAGGTGCCTGAGGCGGAAGAAGGTACACTTGATGATACACAGCCGCCGCTGGAACTGCAGGCAGATGATGATTTCGACAACGATGATTACGATGATGATGACGACGATGAAGAGGACGAGGAGGAGGAAGAGGAAGAGGACACTGCCTCCATTGTTACGGTGCAAGCAAACAACGAGAAATTGTTTCTGCGCCACGATGCAGATGCCTATGGCCCATCCTCCATTGACAGCGTCTCGTCGGGCAAGGTACGCATTAAGGCAACGCCGCTGACACTACACCAGACGCTGGCCAAAGAGACGACCATTGTGGAGGTGCTGAATCCTGTCATTGGTGGCGACGGCAGTGCGCGTACTATACAAGTGAGTGGCGTGCCCTTCGACATGGATGAGTTGGAGGAGGGCGCGACCTCGCTGCTGCGCAGCGAAACTTTTGTGATGCCCACTGGCGGCAAGTCGGAGCTGTCATTAAATGCAAAAATGAAGAATGTGCTCGAGGAGCTGCTAGAGAATGAGCGCGTTAAATTGAATTTGCAAAAGAGCCTCGAGGAGCACAGTGACAATGACAACGACGACGAGGGCGAAACCGAGAACGTCTATGTGGATGCACGCGACGACGATGAGAGCGCCTATGGTGACGCTATAGATGATGTTGTTGACTTTGGCGTAACAGTCGTGCCGACGGGCAAAACTAAAGGCCAGGACGATGCCAAGAACGGCAATCAGCAGCTGCTGGAAGCGTTGATCAGGGACAGTAATCGCAATACCATAATGGGTAAATTGGCCAGTCAATTGGCCACGAACAAAGACGAGGACGACGACGACGATGACGAGCAGGACGACGACGAGGAGGAAGACGAAAGTAGCGATTCCTCGGACGATGATAGCGATGACTCCGATGAGGAGGACAATGCCGAGGAGCAATTAAACATTGCCTACGTGCAGGGCGCGCAGGTAATCGAGAATCTCAACACTGTGGCTGCGGGCAACAAGCTGCAAAAGTCACAGACCTACAACACCATGAAGCAAGCTGAACAGGAGGAGAAGGAAGCGGAGGAGCTAGCAAGCGGCAATACCCTGGCCCAGCTGCAGGCCGAGCAGCGTGCACTGGCCGAGATCTCAAAACAGCTGCGCAAGTCTGTCGAGGATTTGCTTAGCGCCGATGGCGGCTCGGTAGTGGAAACGCAGCGCACCTACACGCTGCCAGCCTCCAGCGACAGCAAAGCCGTCGTCACCGTCACCGAGGTGGTAAAGAAGCAAAAGAAAACGGCACGGCAATCGGGCGCCGGCGAATCTGGCGAGGCTATATTCAATCGCCTGCTCAGCGCCGGCGAATCCGAGCGCCAGATCTTCGACCAGCAGCAGGGTGAAACCATCACAACCACCACCACAACCACTGAGGCCCTGCCCGCCGCGGCAGCCGCCGCAGCTGCCGGCGAGCCCAGCACCAGTGTGGTGACCACAACGCGCACAGTCTCCAACATTGTCACCAGCGGCATACCGAGGCTCGAGGCGAGCAAGCAAACCAGTCGCAACAGCAACAGCAGCAACAACAACAATAACAATCGCAGCAAAAACAAGCGCAAAGGCAAAAAGAAATAGGCAATAAAGGACGACAAATTGCGCATACGACACGAGGTCTGTATGAGATTTAACTAGGCATATACACAAATATTCTCATGAGCAGCCCTTCACCAGCAGCAGCCCCTCCCACACATAGACATAGTCACATATCAGCGCATTAAGGAGCATTTAACAATGTGCCGTTATACATAATGTATGTACGTTTTATATACGCCTGCATATGTGTGTGTACCATATATAATACATGTGTGTATATAATTTTAACTAATTGTGCAAATAACTTGTCGTTGCATTTAAAAAACACATTTGTAACTAATCATAAAAACGATCGCAAACAAAAAAAAAAGCATAATTGTGTAAAATGAAAACAATTTCATAATTATTAAAAAAATAAAAACCCTGCAAGCTTTTAACAATATTTAATTCAGTAACAACAAATGGCAATTAAAATTACCTAAAGCCCAAGGAACTGCGTACACATAATTGCAGTAAACAAAAATCTTATTTAATTGATTTAAATAATTTCACTTTGTTTTGCATTTAATTTACTCGCATTGCTTTTTTGTCATCACGTCCTTTGCGTTTTAATTGAATTAAATTTTGCGTTTTTTTTTTTGTTTTAGCATTATAAATAAAGCCGGTCAAAAGTTATTTCGACGGTCCCTCATACAAAATTAATAACCCCGAGCATTCCGACTGTCCATTTTATGCTGGACAATATTGTTAAGGTCTAGCTCTAATCAATACAACAAGTTTATTAATACATAATATTCGAAGTATGTATTTATTGGTGTTGCATTATTCTAGTTACTGCAATCTTGTGGTCAGTGTACAACAACTTACGAGATAGTCAGTCTAAAAATGCATTAACTAAACTGTAATTGTAAAAAAAAATCAATCCGAGCAAATGATTAAATATTTACCTATTTGATATGTATTTAGCGTGTAAGCAAACAAACTTTTTATAAACCGACAAAACAAACAAACATTGTTGCAATGTAATAAACAATTCAATTTATTTTTTATTTTTAAATCAATCTTTCACTGTCACTCCGACAACTTTCTATTTAAAATAAGCTCCCACGCAGAAAATAGCTCGACTGTCATTTATTATTTGCAGTTAAATATAGCAGCACGCTATTTTTATACGACTTTTTAAGTCGCGGATTATACCTTGGCTGACAACAAAAGTCTAGCACGTGTCATAAGATTTATATTTGGCTAGTTACCTGATGAGTGGCAAAACCGCTGTAAGGTTTATTCTGGTTGTTACTGAATACTAAAGTTTAAATAAACAGCTAATCGTCATACGAGTAAGTGCTTGCCTCTTTAGTTAAAAATGCATTACAGGAACGATGGGTTAAGCGATTTCAGACTACCTGATTATTAGAGGTATGTATTATTTATGGAATAAAATGATGATGACTTAGCCAGAGTATTTTCTCATTGTTTCCTTTAAGACTTCACGATGTGAGTCCAAAAATGTTGAATAAGAAATATAAAATAATAAATGTCATATGACGTAGAATTTTTGATAAATTTTAAATAATTTTACCTTGTGAAGCAAAGGGAATTAAATACAACCATTAAGCGGAATGAATCTATGCAATACGAAGAGCGGCTGTGTTGTGTTCCCCAGTCAACATCAAGCTTAATGGCATTACGGAAGATGTTCCATTCTGGAGAGCGCGCAACGAAACTGCGTCGGAAACATCGTCTGTTGAGGTTGTCAAAAAGATAGACAGTTGCCTTGGCAGTGGGTGTGTACGGCTCCTAATGTAAAAATCGTTAGAATTTGTTGTGCGCCCAACATCATCACATAAACATCAACTCTGACAAGAAGCAAGTTTTAAGCGGAAGTTCTCGACACCGACACCGAGCATTGAGCGTTGCGGGGCTCACGTTGCGTATGTGCAACGTGCATAATTTGATTTCTAGCGTAGAGAAAGAGTATGTGAAACGCACATACGTATTGCAGATGCCTGCGTCAGCATTTTAAATATTTAATGCCAACCAATTGAATTACGCAGCAAAACCAGTCAAGGACTGCAACTGACGCAGGTCTTGTTACATGCGCAAGCGGCGGTGCCAAGTGCACGGCTCTGCCTTGGTCAGGTCCTCTGCCTGCATGCCGCCCGCTGAGCAAGACAAGTGAATGCGTCATCTCGCCCCCAATGCATTTGCATTTGTGCAACATTTCAAGTGCAGGCGCCCTGCCAGCCAAATGCTGCGGGCCTCCTAATGCTGGCATTAATCAGAAACTCATTTTTTGGGCGCAGCCAGGCCCCATTGTGATTGTACTGCATGTTGCGGCTAAAATAAAAGCAGTTTGTCATATTTAATACACTCGACTGGTCTGACAATGTAGCCGACGTCATTTCGCGTCGACGGGGTGCTCATTACATGGTCTGTCTGCGCCGAAACTCCATCCAATTGTCGTCCCCTGTCACATTTAATAGGATTATGCTTGGTTAAACACAAAGTGTCCTCACACACGCTCACACACACACTGTCATATTCTTTTTGTGCAGGGCGTGTGTGTTTTTGGTGAGGGAGTCGCACAAATTTCCAGCATTTGCTGTTTGAAATTTTTCACATTTCACACATAAATTCTGTAAAGATGCTTTTTGGTGTAACTCCTGCTGCTGCTGCTGTTGCTAGAAGCAGCTAGTGAAAAATGTCCAGTGCACACTCACACACGCACACTTGAACACAGGCGTAAGCGCAGGTGTCCTGTGCTGCTCTAGTCCTTGGGCGAGCTCGTCGTGCTGTTTGCCTCCGCCAGTTACTGAGTTATCTGGCAAATAATGGAACGTGCTGTGCAGCTGATGCGTTTTCATAAATTTTAAATAAGCGCAGCAGCTGCCACAATACTCGAAAGGCAGAGTCTCTACGCCAGCACCCAAGGCCTTGACGAGCCCCAGACATCTGTGCGCCTGTATAATTTTCCATATTAGCGAATAGTTTCACTTGGCAAAATCAACTTAGGTGGTCAACAGTCAGTTGATTGCCTCATTAATCAAACGTTTTATCAGCCAACTCATGGAAAACTGCACTAACAGCAAGTTGGCAGTGGCAGACACTCTGCGGTAGGTAAAGATACCACTTTCTATTCGCGACTCATGATTCGTAAAAATGCTGAGAGCATTAAATGATTTACCTTTTTAATGGTCAAATATTTATTGCTGCAATATGTTTCTTACAATATAGTACTTGTTTATATACATCTACACTTGCCTAAAACCTGTAATGGTCGCAGTTTTCCTATTTAAATTAAACCGCGTAAGCGATCCTAACAGCTTGCGTTTGTGTAACGACGCTATAGCGATCAGCTTTTGTCTGTCATGGTCAGCTGCGAATGAGTCAGCCGCTGCTATAAACCGCCTGCGTGCACGTTGGCAGCGCAGCTATCTTCCCTCTAATCCGGGAAAGAAAAAAGCTCTGAGACCCTATATAAGCCTGCAGGTCCCGGATATAACCCTTTTTTTTTTTTTTCAAAAGTTACTTTACCATCGAAGGTCTGGCTACGGCGGTGCGGACATAGCCCCACCAAAATATTAATCTAAAAGCAACAAGTTCGGGCATCAGTCGTTTAATTCGTTTAATTTAAATTCCAACTAAATTGAACCAAAAACAACAAAAAAATAAAAAGAAAAACCCTAAAAGTAACCGATTGGCGAAATAAATTTTTTTTGTTCATTTGATGATAACCTTTCGCTCCGCCACCCGGCCACCAGCACCTCACCGGCATATATTTCTTTGTGCCAAGATCTGGTCACAGTTTTAACCAGTTCTTGCTTGCCTGCCGAAAGTAATTTTTGGAGGAATAAATCTTGCCGCCGCCGTCTCTGACAGAAAAACCCACTTATTTTGAGGCAGCCGCCACGTGTGCCAATTGGACGGCACTGTAATTTCTTGGGACGGCAATGACATTTCTGCCCCCATTAAATAGACGTCAGCCTCAACGGCGGATCAGCTGCCATACCCTTGCTCATGCCAGCAAGGGCAGGCGCCGTTTCCACAGTTTGGAATCCGGAAGAGGCAGTAGCCTTCTGGGCCCCATTGACGCGCCGCTGATCAGAAGCCCAGATGACATCGCCAATTAAGTTGGCCGGAGCGTGCAGATGCATGAAAATTGCTGTTAAATGTTTTTAGTAAAAAAATTGTTAACTAAATCTTGTGAGAGACTTCCAAAAGTTTGTGAAAAGTGCATTTATTAGGCCCTCAAAAAACCGCGTGCAAGTGCAGTGAAAAAGAAAAATTGACATCTATATACATAGCTTTATATATATAGAAAGGAATACTAGTATAAATCTATCCCCCTTCTTGTAGAGTCCAAAGTCATTTCAGAATTTTTTTTATATTTTTTTTTCCCACTTATTTTCGGAGAGTATCTTCTTAGTACTCACAATTTAAAAACCCTCCTGTGCCATAATAATATAATCAAAACAATTTAAAGCCCCACAGAAGACAAAAGAAAACAAATGAAAAAAAAATAAATAAAATTTGCTGCAAACTCTCCGCTGGAAGGCCTTTCATCGAGGAATACATGTAAGTTTTTAACCTTTTGTTTTGAGTATATTTTCTTATTTTGGCACAGATAAGCACAGCCAAACTGACATGCGCACCTGCTGAGTTTTTTTACTTTCTGTTTCACATTACGCTTTAGCTCCGATCAATATGTTTATGACCGTGTCAGTCTGGTGAATGCTTATCATCTTTGATTCTACCTACACCCCGCTCAATTACTAGCTGAAACAGAAGCAACCTAAAAGAAAAGATTTTTAACAGAATCAAATATATGTACACAAAGATGTATCATCGTATTCACCGATCAGCTGGTTGCGCTGCGCTCCGATTTGCCCATGCGCTTTGAGCTTAACCTTCTGTTGCCCATATTTTTTTCGACCATACAATTAACCATCAACTACAATTGTATTGACTCTATTATAATAACTTTTTTTTTTGCTTTTGCCGAATACACTTTAGTTCAATTTACGAATGTCATTTTTTTCTTACCTAGCTATATTCTATAATTATTAAAATGCACTTTAGCGAAATTTGGAGAGTTTCTTTTTGATCAATAAGAAAAAAAAATATTAACTGAATAGTTTATAAAATGAATTATTTTTGAAGAATCTTTGAGACATTGTAAAAATATTAACGGACTAGTTTTAGTTACTGAATTATTGTTGAATCATTAATGCCACTTGTAATAAGATGCAGATTATCTAACGGAAGGATTCAGTTTCATTGAATAATGCTTTTGTTTATAATAAATATTAATTACGGATTTTGATTATGAATTGCTAAGTTTTCTTTCCTGGTGACATGGTGATATAATGTAGTAGAAGAATGTTTTTTTTGGGATCTTCAAAACCTTAAACGCTGAAGATCATGGTTGGGAGGGTATCGAACGCGAGAGTCAGCTTACATCCAAGACTTCGCCTCTTCGGAATATATATGCCCTAATGAAAGCTATCACCATTGTATTGGCACTTTAAGTGCTCGTTAAGTTATGCCTGTTTGAGATTTTGTTTCTGCGGAGTATCGGTCTCCAATTTAGATTCTGTAGGGATCCTAAAATAAAATTGTGTATGCAGGTCGAGACATGGCAAAAAGAACCCCCCCACCCGAAAGAGCTAGGGAACAAGAGGATCCCGCCCTGCCATGCTAACTCAACCACGAGGGGCCTCGGTGACTACTTCCCGAATTATTTTGTGAAGATTGGCTGCCAACCGCCGTCACCGTTGCTACCCGATATGTATTGCTAGAGTAGCTTCACCACAGTACTTGCTACATAAATTTTTGGCGCCCAATCATGGGGCCCGAGGTTGTCTATAAAAAAAAAAAAAAAAAAAAAAAAAAAAAAAAAAAAAAATGAGTCTTTATATTATTGTCCACGCACGCTGACGTCGATGTGACTGGTTTAGTCTATCTTCCGCATGCGCAGATACTGGTAGTATACAAGATAGTAATTAGGACTACGATGCTTACAATTCAGAGCTTGAATTATGCCGAGAATCTGACCTT